GGGGAGCCTGGGACAGGAGGAATGTTGGATAACTTTCTGAAGGTCATGTGGCTGGAGAAGGGAGGGGCAGGGGGCTGGACCCCAGGAGTCTGATGCCAGCACCCAAGGTCTTAACATAATGTTCACTACTGAGTCTGTCTCGTGTTATACTGTTCCCAAAGTTTTGAATGAGAGCAGAGACTGAGGCACTCTCAGTAACAATCACTTAAGGGAGTGGGCAGGGCTAACCAGTTCAGGGACTTCAGTCAGTGATCCTTGGCTTGGCCATTCTAATTATTCCCTTTCTAGGGCCTGGTCCACCCAGCAAAGAGATAAAGAGAAGAGGGGTCACTTAGACGACACACCTCTTGCAAGGTGAAGGCCAGACAGTCATGCTGAGCCATATACTATGGGTTGTGGAGGAGGGGCAAGATGCCAGTGATCTGGGTGACTGTAGAGGACAAGGAGCTCTATCCAAGGTCTCAACCCTTCTGCATCCATTCCTCTTACATTCAGCTAACTGCCAGCATTGGGAGGAGACCCAGTAACCCTCCAAGCAGGGTGTGGGTATCTGGTGGCCTCATGGCCACCTCACTGAACTTTCAGTCTGACAGAGATTAAGCTGGCAAGGAAAACTAAGGCAGAGGAATCTGTCAGCTTCCACAGAAACCCATTAGAGTCCCCGAGAGTTTCCCCAGCAAACCTTTGCCAGTAGGGACAGAGTCACAGAGGTGGGAGAAACCGAGACTAAGAATGCTGCTGTGGCTGTTCCATCAGGAGTATAATTACAGTGCTGGAAGGGCCTTGGAGATAATCTAATCCAATGCTGTTCACAGTGAGATCTGAGGAGCCCTGGGGTGCTAGGCCTTGCCCCAGGGGAGGAGGGTGAGCCCAATAGTCACCCTAGCTTCAATAGAATTCCTCTGCTTTCATCTGAATTAGATGTGGGGTTCATGGAAGATTTAATTTAGGAAAAAGAAATAGTGATAGAAAATGATGAATCCCATTAGATTAGTCCATACTTCTTAAATAATCAAAACCTAAGCCTCCCCGGGGGAGAGGGACTTGGAGAGCTATAGCCAGTGGAGCCAGCGGCCCTGGGTGGGGCTCTGTGTGCTGGGTTCCTGGACTCCACACTTAGTGCAAGCATTTGGAAGTTTTATATAGACAATCTGTCATACCTCAGGACCCATTGCCAGACTCTGAAGGGTTTGGCTTCGAAACTCACATACAGAACCTCAACAATCTGCTCCAGAGATCTCTAGCTATGTCTCTGCCTTGGATCTGCAGGGTGGCCATAGTTCTAGTTCCTTACACCCTCCAGTGACTTGGACTCCTTCTCCCAGAGGACTGTCCTTCCCGCCTTGCCCTGCTATCTATCTTCCATGCAACCATGGATTCCAATTTCATGAGATGGGCTCCCAAGCGGCTTCTTCTCACTCCGTCCGGAGTTTCAAATTAACTGTGAGGCAGCAAGCACAGAGGTCTCGGTTGGCTACCCAGGGCATCTCCCCAAGGAGGGACTGCAGAGCACTCTGGGGCAATAAGGTGGCCTTCTGCCCTCCATCCCCAGCCAGCTGCTCCTCCTCCGCTAACCTCCTCCTCCTCTGGAACATTTTCCTGCAGGAGCCAAAGCAGATGGTCGCTGGAGCTGCTGGAGCTCCTGGTCAGAGTGCAGAGCGGGTACCCGGGAAAGGAGGAGACAGTGCAACAACCCTGCACCCCAGAATGGAGGTGCCCCATGCCCAGGGAAGAACGTGCAGACCCAGACCTGCTGAGTACCTTTGGATGCAGGCTGGGAAGTCTGTGGATGCTGCTAACTGGCCTGCCTACTAGGTAGGACTGATTGCTGCTCCAAGTGACTGCAAACCAACAAAGACCATTCCCTTCATATACTCATGGATTGTTTTCTAGTATGAACCTCATGATTCTTAGCCTCTACCAAGTACCTGGTTCCAAAGCTGTCTCCCTGTTTCAGGGGGTTCTTACCCTGCACTTCTCAGAACCACTTTCTATCTTACTAGGTTCAGGGTGCTTAACAATAAACCAGCTGTGGTTTAGACATATCAGAAATTATTCCTCACAATTCTGGGGGCAGAAGCTGCAAGATCAGGGTTCCAGCAGGTCTAGGATCTCAGGAGGCTGCGTCCACTTTATATATGTCCTTTGTTGTGTTCTCCCATGGTGGAGGGCTGGGGAGTCTCTGAGACCCCCCTAATAAGGACACTAGTCCTACCCATGAGAACTTTGCCTTCAGGACTTAGTCAACTCTCAAAGGCCAGCCTCCTCCTGCCACACCAGGTAGAGGATTTCGATTTCCATGTATGAATTTAGAAAGACCCCAGCATTTGGACCCCAGCACATCTCCCATGACCCTCTAATCTGTCTTCTCCCAGGAAGCAATCATATTTCAAGGCAGTAACTGGGCAGGTTTCATTCAGCACAGTATCTTCAGATGCCAAGGCTGTGTGTCGCAGATCACGGGGACCTAGTCAGTAACAGTCGCTGGGACACGTGAACAGACCAGTCCAAAGGTGAGGCCTGCACTGGTCAGCCTCCCAGAGCTGCAGGAAGACTTGGAAGAGTCAATCCATGAAGATCAACACACAGTCCTTGCCCTTCCCGAGAAGAGCCAATCCCACCAGCCAGCCCGGTGTTCCCATGGACCCTAAACCCTGTACTTGTTCAGCTTCATTGGCAATGCCTTAGTTAGGGTTTCTATTGCTGTAATAAAACACCATGAGCAATAACAACTTGGGAGGAAAGGATTTTTTCAGCTTACATGTCTCACTCACAGTCCATCATGAAGGGAAGTTAGAGCAGGAAGTCTGAAGCAGAGGCCATGGAGGCGTGCTTGCTCAGCCTGCTTTCTTATACCATCCAGGATCACCTGCCCAGGGATGGCACCACCTGCAGTGAATTGGGCCCTCCCATATCAATCACTAATTTTAAAAATACACTACAAACTTCACTCGCAAGGCCAGCCTGGTGGGGGCATTTTCTCAATTGAAGTTCCCTTTTCCAAAATGCATCAGGGTGACATAAAACTAACTAAACATCTCAGGCTTATAACCTGGCCTTCTCTTCAAAGCTGGTAGAATTCATAGAGACGAAGCCTTCAGAAACAGAGGGCCAACTGTATATGTGAAAAAGCAGAGACTCTTGGGCCATTGGAAGTGACTTGTTAACATCAATACATGTATCTCCCAAATGAATGTAGAAGGAGAAGACGTGAGAGAGGGCAGTCTTCCCACGGTATGTATCAGAGGCAGGCATGGGGTCCACCTGGACCTGGATGGACTTTTCCATAGATCAACAGGGAGGAACCTTTTGAAAAAGAAGTCCAGCCTAAGACAAAGCTTGAGGGTAAGAAAGAACATGGGGAAGGGAGGACTCACAGGTGTGTATGTGTTGGGGATGAGGAGTGGGAAAGACAGCTACCAAAGAAAATCAAGTGTATGAGGCCCATCGCAGCAAATTCTTAGCATCATTATTGTGATTCCCATTGATAAAACATGTGGTTCAGGGGTTTATCTAAATAAAAGTGGCTCTTCTCTCTGAAAGAATGAATAAAGGCTCTGTTCTTGCTTTCCATCATGTTGTGTGCTTTCCCCCTTTAAAATTTGTTTACATTAATGATTAGCCCACATTCACGAGCTGGTGATTAGTAGCAGCTCCGTGTTAGCAAGTGACCGGAGGCCAGGTGGGAGAGGTTGAGTGGGCAATTGATGAGGACTTTCAATCTTGCTCTAAACACTCGCTTCAAAGCGCCCAACCTTGGCTGCACATAAGAATCATCTGGGGAATTTCATAAACCCTGATGTCCAGAAGCGGCATCCCAGACCAATTAAATCGGAATCACCGGGGGCAGGAGCCAACCATCAGCAGTTTCCAGTGCTCCCTCGGCAATTCTAAGAGCAGGCAAGGTTGACCACCATTGAGAGTGGAAAAGTCATTATGTGCTCACAAGGAATGGGGTGTATGGCACACAGAGGGCCAGGGGCAGAAAAGCTTGATCTTTGCTATTTTATGTAGGCTTATCAAGGACCTCTCAAGATTTGTTTTGCGAGGTCTATGCCACAGTTACAGACACTGCATCTCGTGAGTCAGAGCTGTGGGCCAGATATTTCATGCACTAGTTCAAGCACTTGTCCCCCTTGGCCCCCTGCTCTACTGCTCTATGCTGTCTGCCATTGGAGGGTTCCGCAGGGTAGTTTGCGGTGCTCAGGGCAGGGGAGGAGATGAAGCAGGGAGCCTTGTCAGGGGTCAGTGTAGTAAACCTGGGAGCAAGAGGGAAACTTCACCGGAAGACACTAAAGGCTCACACGTGAGCCCAGATCACCAGCTAAACACAGCAGAATTAGAAATGAAAAGCAAGCAGCCATGGCAACCTTTTACTACATCAGCCGCGCCTTCCTCCACAGTGATTCTCCCAATGCATTTCCCCTGGGTCCTTTCAGGAGATCTATAATCTCAGGTTTTATAGGGAGTGGTGTGTAAACACACAGTTCAAAGTTATACTCTTCAGCTTGACAATGTGTCTTCTGAAAAGTAAATTAACGACGGAGAGGAAAGCGGTAAGGAGAGAGGCTTCCTTCCTTCCTTTTCTTCTTTGCGAGGGAGATCGAAAGAGTTTCGCACTCAGGGAATCTCTTCCGAGCTACTATGCCTTTAGGGGGAGAAAATGGCCACAGAGGAAGGGCAGGCTTCGGAAGCCACACTGCAGATATGAGGGATGCCTCAGAGAAGCCTCTGTGCTTCACAAGGATGGGATGGTGATACCGACTAATAGAAAGGCATCCCACTGCCGTGAAGGCGGGCTCCACTGTCGCCCTTCTACTTCAGAACTGGGCAGGCTAGGACTGGGAATGGGGCTCAGTTAATAGAAAGCTTGCCTAGCACTCATGAAGTCCTAAATTCAATCTTTAGCACTTCATGTCTTAGTGTTCTCCTGCTGTGAAGACACACCATGACCATGGCAACTCTTCTAAAACGAAAGCATTTCATCGGGGCTGGCTTACAGTTTTGGAGGTTCATTGTTGTCGTGGTAGGGAACATGGCGGCGGGCAAGCAGACACAGCAAACAACTGAAGAGTTCTTCATCTGGATCCGTGGAGAGCAGGAAGAGAGAAAGAACCGCTGACTCTGGCTGGGCCTTCTGAAACCCCAAAGGCCACACCCACTGACACACTTCCTCCAAAAAGGCCACACCCACACCAACTGACCACACCCACTCCAACAAGACCACACCCACTAGAACAATCCTTTCAAATAGTGCTGTGCCCTAAGCATTCAAATATATGAGCCTATGGGGGTCATTCTTATTCAAATCACCACACTATAAAAACTGAGAATGAGCGCTCACTAGTAGGTAGGAGCAGGAGAAAGAGAAGCTCAACTATGTAGCAAGTTCAAGACCAGCTTAGGGTAGAAGCAGTTACTGTCTCAAAGAAAATCTATTTTTATAGTCATACAAATTTGTTGTCTTAATATTGTGAGGGCCTGAAGTTTGAAAGAGGACTCACCGATATAAATAAAGTTAATTGGTTGTAATAGTTGTAATTACAATAGCTAAGTTGTAGAACCCACCCAAGTGTCAAAAAACAGAGGAATGCACAAAGAAAATGATTTTTCCAGCCCCCAAAAATGAAATTATGTTGTTTGAAGAAAATGGATGCAGCAGCAGATAATCATATTAATTAAATTCAGCCAGTCTCAAAAAACAGATTTCCTGCTAGGTGGTAGTTTTGCATACCTTTAATTCCAGCATTCCAAAAAGGCAGGTGGATCTCTGTGAGTTTGAGGCCAGCATAGTCTACAGAGTGAGATCTAAGATGGACAGGGCTACACAAAGAAACCCTGTCTCGAAAAACCAAAAACCAAACCAAACCAAAGCAAAACAAAAGCCCAACCAGATTTTCTCTATTGGTGGTTCCTGGATTGTACATAGATACATAAAATCATGTTTGTATATATGACATGAAAGTAGAAGCGAGGGGCTGGCTGGATTGGTTAAAGTACTTACTGTTCTTCCAGAGGACCCAAGTTGAGTTCCCAGCATCCACTTTAGGAGGCTCACAACTGCCTATAACTCTAGCTACAGGGATCTGATGCCCTCTTCTGGCTTCTGTGGGCATTGCATGCATGTGGTGAGTACACACACAAATAAAAAACAAATCTTTTTTAAAATGTAGAAATAAAATTGTCTAGGGGAACAAAGGGAACTAATGAGAGAGGAGAGGATGTATGTGGGAGGAATATGCTTAATATATATATATATGAAAATATTCTTCTAAACACAGTACCACATGCATCTAATATTTTAAGAAGAAAAATATTTATCAGTACAATCATGCATACACATACAAATAAAGCCATAAGGGCTATGATCCTCTGTAAGACTTAGGGGACCATTTATTCCATGCATTCTCCAGCTTCTGGAGTGACTACATTCCTTGGCTAGTGGTCCTTGCCTCCAGAAAAAAAATCTAATCTAACAACAACAACAATAGTAATAGTAATAATCAAAAGAAATTTTAAAAGAAAAGAGAAATAATAAAAAGAAAATAAAATGTCAGGCTAACTTCCAGTGATATCTAGTGCACAGGCCACTGCTGGGTGCAGGAGGTGCTGAGCCTTACACAGACCCTTGAGTACAAGAACTTAGAATCCAACAGAGGAGGCCTATGGACAATGGCAATGGGTCCCTAACTAGAGGAAGCCCAAGGGGCCCTAGAGAAAGTCTAGTCTGGGAATCAGGGAAGACAGCTGGAAGACAGGCAGCCAGCTGAGCCCTGAAAGAGTGACAGGTAGAAGAGCAGCACATGTCACAAGAGGGGACACACAGAGGCCCAATGGAAGTCACAAACTAGCAGCCCATGGATGTTCTGCCAGCTCTGAGTGGTGCATGTCCATCTCAAGCTGCGGCTAGTGAGTTGGACCTCATGTGTGGTCACGAGTCTTCCTGTGAGTAGCAGGTGCTGCATCTCATAGCTTTTCCTGGCCACCTTCCTCGGATTTCTGTGCTCTATAATCATAAACGCCAAATTCATGGCTGACTGTCTGATCTAAGGCCTGTATACCACTGTACCTTCATTGTGTTTTTTAGATACCCTTAAATCCACTTGATGTACAAAGACCTCTGTGACTAGTCTTCATGTCTGCCTCTGATCCCAGCTTCTTCCTCCTCCCAGATTATTTGGGGCATGGCTTAGGTTCCTTTCCCAGAAAGCCAGCCTAGCTACTCCTATGACTCCACAGCTCATCAGGTATATGACCCTGTGTGGCTGTCTTCCTACATGTTCCATGTCCTATCACCATAGCCTGCTTGTCTGTCCCATCCAGTGACTTCCAAGACAGACAGGGACTTCTTATGTCCTCTTGGCTTTTAGAACCCTAGCAACTAAGATATATCCCTCCATTCTCCTCTTGTCCTTTGGTACCAAAGGCCGAGCCTAGCATGGCCTTTGTGTTTGGCTGTAGAAAGTTGTTAGAAAGAGTCTCAAAGGAAGACACTGAGCAGGATTCCCGAATCCCATGACCTTCACAAAGCATTAGAGGACAGCCAAGTCCATAGCATCCTGGAGGCACAAATTAAAGAGTAAGCCTACCCCTTTCCACCTTAGTGAAAGAAAGTCTATCAAATCAAATTAAAGGTCCCTTATTCATGGCCTTGGGATTTCCCCCTTCCACTGGAGAGATAAAGAAAAATATGTCTCCTTCCTGTATTAACAGCTTAAAATGTGAGATAAATCCTCCCATCCTAACCTGTTTTTAACAAATAGACTTGGCTGTCAGGTGGCATGATACATGTCTGACAGATCTATTTATCCATTCTATTTCTTTAGAGATAACACTGAGAAGTTTTATCTGTTATTTGCCCCCCTCCCTGACTCTCATTTTCCTAACCAAGCATGTGGAGCCAGCAGTTGATGGATGGATGGTGTTTGGGATGAAAGGGGCCAGAATCAGATCGCTTTTGGGATGTGAACAAACTGGATTATTAACAAGGAGTCATTGGGCAGGAGCTGGTGGGGGAAGCTGAGTGGATCCCAGACAATGGCCAGTGATGGATGGAGGGACACCTGGGGCTGCAAGGTGTGGACTTGAGATAACTGGTGGCCGCTGCTGGGGTGATAATGGGAGTGCCCGGGCTCTGTGCCGATTCCTGCTTCAAGGCCAATGTCAGGCCAGACACTTGACTCCTGCTGAAAATCCTCCAAGAATTCCCCTCTGTACATAGGACCATAGTTCCTTCTCTCTTTTCTCTCTATAAAATGTATGTCCATGCTCAAGGAAGCAGTTGGCAGGGAAGTAAAAAGAGGCAGAAAATGGACAGGGCCCTTTCATACAGCACCCAAGCATAGGAAGTGAGTTTAGCATCTGCCTTGTGCCAAACACTCCTGAGTGATGCCTTCCCTTAGTATATGCCATGTCATAAAATGATCACACATGTGTCACATGCATGAAGGACACTAAAGAAGAGAGGGTACATAACTTGGGGAAAAAAGGGTCTTCTGTCTGCCACAAAGACCCCCCCCACACACACACATCCATTAGGTTTGTGTTCTGTGGGGCTGGCAGGCCAGGGTCCTCACTGTGAGTGAGTGGGCATACCAGTGATGGCCCTGTGACAAATCTGGGTCTGCTTCATTTGTAGTGGAAGGCTATGCAGAACAGCCAAAGCAGCCTTGGACTGGACTGCACAGGCTGCTTTGGAGCTGTGTGGTCTCAGGGAAGTCATTCAGTCTCTCTGAGGCTGTCTTGCCACCTGTCACAGGCAGACAATAAATCTGCCTCTTGCAGACACTGAGAGGATTAGGCCTGGATTAGGTATGTGACGTTCTTTGTCGCTGGAAATGGTCTCTGCAAATATTAGTTATTATGCTGTTACATCTCCCTTAATAACCCAGAGCTTGGGAGGGAAAAGCCCTCCATGGCCTTTATTAAGATCTCCCTAGGAGCTAAGCAATTTTATGTCCTTTTATTCTCCTATGTAGTAGAAGGCTTTTGCATTGAGAGGTCTTTAAAGCAGTTTTAAATGAAAACCAACAACCTGGGTTCTTAGTGATAGTTTGAGAATCCCTGAATATGATCACGGCAGTGGTATAGCTAAGTAAAGAGTGTTTACAGGGCCCAGGGCCTCTTCTGGGCCCAGGGATCTACCTGATGCCTATGTTGCTCCAGAAGGAGACATGTACCATGCCCTTCTTACAAGGGAGGGGATAAAAGCACCTACTGTGCCCTGCACCTCACCAGGGCAGCACAATAGAGCCAACCCTGTTAGCACAGGTGCGGGTGAGCAGCCCTGAATCATGGAGAACTGTCCCCATTGTTACCTGTCTGTCTTGTGGTGGCATGGGCAGGGGAGAGTTGCCTCCCCCTGCACCCATCAATGACTGGGGCAGATGGGAAAGCTGATCCTGTGGTCATAAGAACAGGAGAGTCAACCCTATTAGTGCGGGTATGGGTAAGCCAGTCCTGAAGTTGTAAACATGGAAGAGCTGTCCCCATTTCTCATCTGGCAGATCAACCCCACAGCTGCCCAGGCCCGGACCCAGGGTTATGAGTTGGTCCACCCCAACATCCACCCCATCTGTGACTTGCTGGGACACGTGAAGGAACCTGACCTGCAGACCCAAAGCTGCAGGATCTCCACAACACAAGGAAACAACAGGATATCCAAGAAGATGTCCACTGAGGGCCCAGCATTGACAGTGTAGTGGAAACCAGAAGCCTCGAACCAAACCACTGACTCTTTGCAATGACCACTTGCAAGTAAAGATAAATGGACAAAAGGGTTTACGGTGTGACTCACTGTGTCACACTGCAGCTTCCATGATGAGATTTTTTTTTTCCTTTATTTTAATTTTTTTTTACCTTAAATTTTGCTTTACTTGGGGGGCATGCAGAGGTGGAAGGCCGATGTGAAGGGATAGAGAAATGAATAAGATCAAGATACATGATGTAAAAAAACACATAGAATAAATTTTTTAAAATACAAGTAAAAAAAAAGCACCTACTGTACAGAGCATGTCAAGGCCATAGCGTAATCCATCACTAAGCCCAGCCCTAGATATCAGCACTGGCTTCAGAACATGTCTGTGGCACGCTCTGCTACACAGCCTCTCCTTACAATGTCGCTACTTCTGCCTAAGAAGTGTGATCTCATGCCTCTGTCTCCATGAATGAACACTTAAGCATTTGAATACCTCAGGTAAGCATCTGTCCAGCACTAAAGATAGACAGGTCATTCAAAGAGGAAAGGACTTTCAGTAAATATTAAATTCAGTAAACAGGGTGTCTCAAAGAGCTGACCAATAGTATTCCAACATGCTACTGTTAGTTTGTATGTGGGCAGTCAAGCTTTGAGGAAAACTAGGGGCTATGGAGATAACTCAGTAGGTAACATGAATTTAGACTACCAGCACCCACATAAGAGCTGGCCATGGTGGTAACCCTGGGTTACCACTTGTAACCTGGGTTAGGCATCTGTAACCCTGGGTCAGGGGTAGACAGAAAAATGAGGATTTGGAGGACTTATTGGTCAGCCAGTCTAGCCAAAACTTGAGTTCCAAATCAAATAGCAGAGCCTATCTTACAAAAAAAAAGATAGACATTTGAAAACACCTGACAACCACATGCCATGCACAAGTACAGGCAAACACACATGATGCACACCTGCACATCACCACAAAAAAATTAAAAACAAACAAACAAAACAAAAACAAAAGGCTAATCTGGAGTGGGGTCCAATGGATGAGTTGAGTAAGATAAGTTCATGCTGCTGTGTGTAATTTCCTATGGGTATTTCTCCATTGATGAGAGCATTCGGGTCCCCTAGGATCCTGCTAAAGGCTTTCTGCACCAGGCACATTCTCTCCAAAAGAATTTCCTATAAATGCTTGAGAGCTACAGTGTCTTGTTCTTCTTTTTGTTTTTCAAGACAGGGTCTCTCTGTTTAGCTCTGACTGTCCTGGAACTCACTCTGTAGATCAGGCTGGCCTTGAACTCACAGAGATCTGCCTGCCTCTGTCTCTCAAGTGCTGGGATCAAGGTCATGTACCACCACCACCTGGCTTCAGTGTCAAGACAGAGATGGCCCTTTCTCTGCCTGTGGTCCAGCCTCAGGAGCTCCCTCCTGGCCCCGCATCCCCTCTTGCTGCTGTCTGCCCATTCTTGGTAGGGATCTGGATTCTATCTGAAACTCGCTCTGTCATCTGCTGCTTGCATAAATTCTACCCCATTAAACTTAGATGAAAATTAAACGGATGATTCAGGTTAAAGACTTCATAAACTGGAAACCACTGTAATCGGCAGCTATTATTATTATTACTATTGTTACAGTAATTATAACAGTTATTATCCCCACAGAAGTTATGCTATTACAAGGTCACCCGGGAAAGCCTCTTAGCCTGGCATTCAATGTGCAGAGGAGCTCATGGCCTTTCAAAGATCCTCCTCTTGGATGCAAACATGCAAACACAGATTCCTTGGGCTGTACTTGAACTCACAGTTCAAGGCCACTCCTAAACCAGACGGCTTGAGCTCTGCCTGTACAATATTTTGGCTCAGCACAGGTACACGGGGGTGAGCCACAGTTGCCAGGACTCCAAGAGCACAGTCTGCATTTATTTTGCTTAATTCTTACATTATGTTTCAACCTCCTCCTAAGTGCATTTGTTTGCAGAAAGAGCCACGTGGGGAAGTTCAGCCCACAAATAAGAATATAATTATTACACAGTTTAGCAGTGCTTGGGCGTCACCCGGGTATTCAGTGGTACTTCACAATTCAATTGTCTCTCCTTCAAGACCACATTTAATAGGATAAACAATTTCTGCTAAATGCAATAAACGTGAACCTGGGCTGTCATCTCCATAATCAACTCAAATTTCCCATTAGAAGTGGAGGCTGTGATTGAGATTCAGAATTTAATTTGGTGGTGCCTGCTTCGATGTGCTACTGTCAGCTTCCTGGGAGCCTCCCGTCAACCAAAGACAGAGTGGCTCTTCCCTGTCTCGGGGGAATCCTAAAAGAAGATAGATTATAACTCAAGAAAATTATACGGCCTCCGTATAATGAAAGAGATAAAACATTATTGCATTATCCTGTTGAAATAACAGCAGACAGCAAAGCAATAATATTAAGCTAAACAAGGGCCCAGACCCGTCAGTTCGATTGCAGGGGATGGGGGATGCAGGAAAGCAGACAGAACTGCCATGCTGCCTGCTCCTGCCCCAGGCAGTGAGCCCTCAACTCCTTCCCAGTTTCCTACTGACTTCTCTGAGATAGTTGGCCAAGGCTAGACTGGAGAAAAGCTTTGGTACCATGGACGTGTTTAGCTTTCAGGACCCAGGACCAAATCCAGCTGCTGCAGATGCAAGGCAAGTGACTTGGCTGAAAACAATTGATTGCAAATGAATCTGATGAACCAAATTACTGTTAGCAAACTGCTTTTCCCCATCCATTTTATTTCAAGAAACTCACCTAAAGTTCCTCAATCAGGGAGATGTGTCCATGGGCAACCAAAGCAATGAAAAGAGGGAATGTATAAGAAATACAGAGCATAACCACTTAGCATTTAAGAAATTTAAAAGAAGATATTGGTAGCTTGGACACCAGTCACCATCCTATTGACCTCTTCAAGCTCCCCCCCCCCAATAGTATTTGCACAAAAGCCCAGTGAGCAAAGTGGAATGTGCAGACCATCTCTCACATTTGGGGTGGGGTTGGGACCCAGGGCACACTACCCCACAGCCAACAGCCCCTCAACCCATTTTCCAGCCACTGTGACCTCCTCTTTTGACTGTAAACATTTTCTCTTGTGGCGATCATTTTCCTGGCCCTTGGCTCCCAGTCACATTCTGTTATTGATCACCACCCAGATCAATTCCCTGATTTCTGCTGCCACACGCTTTGTTTCCTCTACTGAGCGTCAAAGCTAAAGCCACTCTCCTGACAAGGCAGCAGCCAGAGGCAGGGCAGTAACATGAAATGCACAAGAGCATGCACACACATGCTCACATGTGGATGCACATGCACGTGCACAGACACACAGCTTTCAGCTGCACTGTATTCCATGAACAGCTCTTTGCTAGCCACGTGCTCATTCAGAAAAGGAGACAAGCCTCCTAGGTAAGAATTTAAAATTCAGGAGCTTCGTCTGCAGCACGATTCTGCCATTTCCTGATTGTCTGACCTGGAACAAGTTACTATATTCTCCCAAGTCTGTTTCCCATTTATTTGTCTTGCAAGGTTGTCATGGGAATGGATCAGTGGCACATAGAAATCCTTTCATAGATATTGGCTATCTTTATTACTGAACAAGACTATGCTTACCAAGGGATGAACAACATCTCATCTATTGACTGTTTCATTATTAGACACCTACTATGTGGTGACCAAGATAGTTTCTGGCTTCTAGACCACGTGAGGGTAGCCAGAGTGCAGAGTGGACAAAGAGAGGTTTACAACCTTGCAAGGACTGAGGGTTTTGCTTAACCCACTCTTTATTCAAATTAACATGCATTGAACAAACTAAAATCTTTAAAGGACAGAGTGGCATTGCCTTTGGTTGTGGCAGCCCTGGGTAGGAGATGGTGTGTGGGAAGCAGACTGAAGTCTGTGAGGTCCAGAGCTTGTGCTGGGTCGCCCACCGGCTGGGTCTGCTCCCTCCTCTAACAGTTGAGTGTTTCTGAAGCAGGGCCTGAACAGGGCCTGCCTTCTTTCTGAGGGAGTGGATTGTTACACTGTCTTTGTCTTGTTTTACTTCCTCCAGAGCATGCAGACCAGTTGGACCAGCAACTCCACTTCCCATCAATGGGGACATCTATAAGAAAGAAGGACAATGAGAGTGAATTGGTCTTTATTAAACTCTCTATCTCTAGGAGGAGGGCTAGGGCTGGGTGAATAAGCCAATAGGCTTTGGGAATCTGACTTTTTGATATCTCCCTTGTAAACAAGGCTCTTTCTCTCTGGCCACTGTTTTCTTTGCTCTCTCCTATCATAGGGTATTTACATATTCTACAATTATTCCTTGCCCAGGGTACTCTTGCCTTTCCATTGGCATTATCAATCCTATTACCCTTTAGCTCCCAGTAAACACGTATTTCTTCACAGAAGCCCAGGATCCTTAATCTGCATCACTTTTCTGTATTTTAAGCTCTCAGAGCACTTGTAGCAGTTATTGCATAGAAACTTTAAATGTGTTTGTGAAATAATTCAAATAGCATTACTCTTTCTTCTTACATCACAATCTTTGTGATGACAGGGGCTGTACCTGATTTAGTCACACTGAATCACAACATGTAGGCTGGCATACAGAAGGCCTTCTGCAAATATGTATTGGATATTAGGGAGATGAATAGGTGAGTGGGGGTGGGTGGGTGGATGGATAGATGGATAGGTAGATGAGTAGATGCATAGATGCATGTATAGGTGGTGGGAGGATGGATGGGTGAATGAATGCATGAATATGTGAATAGATGGGTGAGTGGGTGGATGGATGGTGGATGGATAAAATATGTTGGTGGGTAGATGGGTGGGTAGATGGTGAACAAGTGGGTGGGTAGACAGAGGCATGGACAGATGGATGAATGGGTAGATGTGAGTGTAGGAGGGAAATGGGTAGATGGATGGTTTCCAGATTAGACACTTCACAGTTGTAAGATACTGGATAGTTTTTCATGGATGGGAGCTATGTTATCTACTGTGCTTAATTTGCTTTTCCGGTGTATGCCATCATTCTAAATGACTTATTTGCCTCATTATAAACTTAAGTCAGCACTGTGAGGTAGTAAATAGGATCATGTCCATTTCACAGATGCAGAGAGATCAAGTGTTCAAGTCAGAGTTATTAAATGACAGTGATGAAATCTGAACTCAAGCTGAGTTCAAGAACCCAGCCAAGGTGCCCAGTACATAGCAAAGTGCACAGAGGATGTCTAATGCTTTATTAGATATGATATGTCCATTTTAAAGGTATCATCAAAAACTTACAGAAAGGAATAAAAATGAGAGAGGAATATGAGCTTGATAACTCTTATATGACAGAATGGGCAAAGAATTTGAGAGTTGGAAGGGACATCTATCTATCTATCTATCTATCTATCTATCTATCTATCTATCTATCTATCTATCTATCTATCTTTCTATCTATCTTTCTATCTATCTTTCTTTCTATCTATCTATCTATCTATCTATCTATCTTTCTATCTATCTATCTATCTATCTATCTATCTATCTATCTATCTATCTATCACTCATTGAGAGACAAGTGTTCCTGAGTCATGGAGGTGCAGAAGTCAATGGGATATGGCATTATTTACAGAAGGAGAAGAGGAGACACAATGTGAAAAGGGCTATGTGTACATATCTTCAAAATCCTGTGGGCATCTTCAGCAGGAATTGACTAATTCCCCTGAGGTATGGGGCATGTTATAGGAATTTCCACAGATGTACACACACACACACACACACACACACACACACACACACACACACACATACACACACCCTGGATTTTGAAAGTTGAATGACACAAAAAGAATATAAGATTTCCACAACAACACAAGAAGGCTTAGGAATTTCACACATTAGCAGGCCTACACCATGGTGCATTCTCAACAGTAGAAATGACAAAATCCTGAAGGAGCCAGGATCCTTAACACCACAATGGCTGTCTCCTAGTCTACACACCACCTTGCTCTTGTTCTTTTTAGTCATTCTCTACATTTTCCCAGAGTCTATATACCCAACGAACTTTGGAAGACTCATTACCTTTCCGATTGGTAACCTCACAGGCTACCCCTTGGAAACCAGCAGGGCAAATGCATTCACAGTGTGATCCTGAGGAAAATAGGGGGAGAGAGTGAAATCAGGACTCAGGAGCTCAGTTCCAAGCAACTGCATTTCCATCATGTAGCTATGTGGATCAGAGAGTGGGTGGGATGTATGTAACACGAAGGTACAGTGTCAAGACTAGCTCCTTTCCTGGGGGGGGGGGTCCTCATCAAGGGGTGTTCATTGCCATCACGAGGATTATATGGTGCTATTGAGAAAACTGCTCCTTAGCTGACCTTTGACTCACATTTATAAGCTTTCAGGATCAGACGTTGCATTAGCAGTCGCTGAGGCCAGTCATCATTCACAAGTAATAGTCTAGTCTCTGCTTGAGTGCCTCGAGGGAGCTTCCCACTCTTTGAGTCTCACCCTACCTACCTTTGGGAAATTCTGAGCCTTTGGAAGTGCTTCTCTATGTTGATCTGGAATCTGCCCCCCCTTTGCGTGTCTCTCATCTGATCATGAAGAATGCCTCCTCAGGACAGACCCTGTGAATGTCCTCCTCTGACTCCATGTTACCCCTTGCCTCTATTCTACAAGCCAGTGGACAACAGCTTCTAGTTCTAACTTTCTTGTAAGGCAAGAAAGACTAGAATAATCCTAGGCTCAAACTCTGAGTTCATGAGCTGATCTCCTTTCGCTTCCTGAGAAATGACCACTTTGGAGAGAACCTTATCTGATGGAGGAAACTACAGGCCATACCCTGTCTCCTAGCTGCCCCATCTGACAAACTCCATACATATCCCTCAGTGCCACTGTTGGCCTGGAATCTCCCTCCCGTCAAACATGTTTTCTCTTGTGACCTTCTGGGCTTGCTCTATGGACACAATCCCTGCCTGACTCTGGCTAGCTCCCTGAGTTGGGGAGTAATTAAGGCTCCTGCTGTCCTGTTTAGGGTGCTGGAATGAACCCTTCCTCTGTCTTGACATCCCACCATAATAAGCCTGAGACTACAACCTCACTCTTCCCGGTTTGTCCCACCCACTGTAGGGATCCTGGGCATGACCCTGAGAGTTAGTCAAGTTCTATTAGTCTGTCCATGATGTCACTTGCAAATCTTCTCACCTCACATTGGCAAGGACATTCACAAAGGATTTCTTTGGGTCAACCCAGGCTCTCTTCTTTGTCCAGAGTTTGGCTAAATCGATAGTTAACCTAAAGGTAGACCACAGGCTCACAGCTCCAAGTTTCAGCTAAATGCTATTGTCACCCTTGATGACCCTGAGGCCAGAGTACAGGTGCTCTGACAGCCAAAGCAGACTCCTCTTACAGCCACCATTCTGACTCCTTGAGAATTAGAAGTGGGCAACAGCGGCCCCCAGAATCAGCCTCCCTGCAAACTACACCTTCCTTCCACAAAGGACCCCAGTGCTCTCTAAGGCAGTACCTTTCAGGACAGGGACTCCATTGCCTTGGCAAGGAGTGCAGTGGCAGGAGCTGACCTCCACCTGAAATTCCTCTAGTGCCTTCTTTATGTTCTGTTTCACTGTGCTGGAGTAGGCAAAGTCTGTGGCTGTCACAAGCTCATACAGGGGCTCAACCTGGGACAGAAGAGACAACACACATCAATTAGAGGCCAAAGCAAAGCCACAGGGAAGGGACAGTGCACAGAAAATGCAGGAGCATCCAGGCAGGACAGGACAGGACAGGTGCTCCAGCCTGCAGCTAGATGCCTGTCCTCTCTGTCTCCCCCACCTGGGAGATAGAAGTTCATTTGTTCAAGTTCAAATCAATTAACAAGAAATACGTACTAAAGGGTAGGCACAAATCTAAAATAACTGTAACGTGAGAATCTCTATTCCCAGGGACGTCCGAAGCCAGAGACGGAGACAGACACTAGTGTACACTAGAGACTTACAGACAGTCTCTGACTTACATGGGTCCAACATAAGCTCTCGTTGCCACCTTCGGAAGGCGAGAGGGTGATTCCCATTTAGTTGAAGTGCACTGTGAGCTTTCCAGGCTAGTGACAGGCTCTTCTGGGAGTACCACACAGGAGCCAGTGTCAGGGGATCCGGCCCAGTCAGCTCCTGGGTCATGAGAAGCCCAAAGTTCCCAGGCTACCGTGCTGCCAAGCTGTGCTCCACAGGTCAGGTGCGTCGAATGCATTTCTGCCTTGGTATTTTCGATTCATGATAGGTTTATCTGGACACAGCCCCACCGTGGGTCGAGGCGCATCTGCCCCATATGGTTTCACAGAGGGGAGCAGAGAGGGCTCATCTGTTTTAGTGTGCCTGGAAGGCGATCCTTCGACGCCCTTTGGCATACTTTAGGCTCTCCCTGCATCATTCCCTTGAGCTTTATGGGAATCACTCATAAAATCCAAAAGCTCATTGCAGGAAACCTTACTCCAAGGCTCCCAGACCCTTCCCTCAGCGGCCTCGGAGCTACTCATTTGATACTACTCTGCTTTCCAAACGTTCCTTTATGATCCTTAAACCTTTCCATGAGGAGTCTCCATTCTCTTCTCTGATTTGACAGTAAGCTGGCAGGGAGAGAGGCTTGGAGCCGCTCTCTCTGTCCTTGGGCACAGCCGCAGATTAAGGGTAAAGAGGATGGCTAGCTGAAGTGGGTCTGCGCGAGGCAGTGCACGTGGGAGACGGGGCAGAGGTTAGAAAAAGTACAAGCAGACGCCGCAGGTGCTGGCCACTGCACATGCGCGTCAGGGGCTGTGACTTCACGGTGGGAGGAGAACCAGGGCCAAACTGCTGTTTGGCAGTGTTCTGTTCCTCTCGGTTAGGGATGCAGCTCCAGGGCCTGGTTCCTCTCCAGATTTTGTTTGTGATCCGGTCCTAATTCAGCCCTGGAGAGTTTAGGGTCTGTCTAAATGCAGGCAATCATGCCTAATAGAAGCCTCCAGTGGGAAGAAAATTGCTTCCATTTCTTAATGCATCTGATGCTGACCTTCGCTCCAGTGGGCAAAGCAAGGCCCCTTGGAGGTCCCATTGTCTCACCGGTCTGTGGTCAATGAATTGATCCAGAGGCTGTTTTCAGAGAGACCAGCCTGCTGGTCACACATGGGGGGAGGGTGAAGGGAGGGCGCTTGCTTTACTCCACTGATAAGGTTCTCAACAGTCAGCTTTTGGCTTTTGCTCCGAGCCCCTTGAAAGGCCTACCTTAACCACCATGGTGTTTTCCTACCAAGACACAGCGCTAGCCAGCAGCCAAACCTGATAAACTCCCCACGTACCCTGCACCTCGGGAGCTGAAGAGCTTTAAAAAAGGGCCCGTCCTCACAAGATGATGATGACTAGCGCAGTTGTCGGCTGAGGGGAAACTCCAGGTGGTTACACGACTCATTAAAAACAAATAAACAGATAAACAAACAAGAACACCAAGATGACAATCCTGGTACCCCAGAACTGGAGTTCAAAGCCTGTGTGTTCCCTACTAGTTTAGGTTGATTACTGATACTGGGGACTCAGGAGTTCCCATCACTAGTCTCACCCATGGGTCCTCCAAACTTTGCAGGCTATGGCAGTTTGCTTTGGTGAAGCAGAAACCGCAGCGGGGCTTCAAGGCAGCCCTTTACGTTTCGGTCAATATGGCTGTGCCCATTATTTGCTTACACTGTGTTTTCCTGCCTCCCTTTTCCTCCACCCCTTTTTCCCCTCTTCCCCTCGCTCTGCTACCTCTTTCTTCTGCATCTCTCCCTTAGATCCTCAGTCTTTAGTACAATGGTCACTCGTGTCTTTAACATACTTGCCCTTCGGAAAATTTTATTTATCACACCATTTAGAGGTGAGGCTGGAGAATGTCTATTAAGCTCTATGCAAATTTCTCCAGTGCACCCTATTGTTCCTAACCATGTCAAATAATCATCACCACAGCTAGCCACCACAAGAAGCTGAACTACATACACATCCCAGAAGTCTTCACAGCACTCTGAGAATTGGGTAGTCCCGTGTCTCCTCCTGGGACAGTTGAGAAAGCTGGGGCACAGAAAAGCTAAGTAGACTGACAAAGGGTGAGCTTGCACTGTTAATATCGTGGTTTGTTGCCCGTTAATCAGTATATATTTTTAGACCTGTGGACAGTTAGGTAATCATACCAAGTTGGTACATAAATGCAATTTTACATCTCATCTTTTCACTTATACTATGAGGCTCTCTCTGTGTGACTCAGCCTGTGTTGATAAAATGTCTTTCTACAGCTTCAGGATACATGGACGGACTGGTTATTTATTCAGCTCCTGTTTTTTTCAGCCTCCAATTGATACTTTTGCCCTTTTAGGTTATGCTACTACAAGTATCCAAAGCCAATTTGTCTCTATACATATTTATTTACAAAAAAAAAAAAATTGGATCAAATATCATCAACCTTTTTAACAGTATGGAGATACTGGTTTAAAATATCTTCTTAGACTAGAGTCATCCTACCCCACAAAAGGCCTCTCAGTCCTCACAGTGCTTTGAGGATTACAGATTTTTAAATCATTTTTATTTGGTAGATGAAAATAAGACTGTTATAATGTTACTTTTATTGGGAGAGGTTATTTATTAGCAAACTGATGGGTGTCCATTTTCCTAGAGATTGTATCCTTCTTATGAATTGTGTCATTTTTCACATAATAAGGCTCTTATTTGTAGTAAATCATCATCATCATTATTGGTGAATTATCTACTTACTTACTAATTAACATTTGTTTTTGTGGGGTGTGTGTGTGTTCATGTTGATGACATAGCGGTCAGAGGTCAACCCAGTGTGATGTTCAGGAGCCATGCACCTTGTGTTGTTTTGAGACCATCTCTCACTAGCCTGGAGCTCATTGATTAGGCTAGGCTGGCTGGCCAATGAGCCTAGCAGTCTGCCTGTCTCTGCCTTCTCAGCACTGGGGTTACAAACACAGCCCACCACACACAGCTTTTTTTTTTTTTTAAATAAGGGTTCTGGGGGACTGAACTCAAGTCTTGATGCTTGTACAATGAGAAATTTACCTCTGAGCTATCTTCTGTGTCCCTAACTGACATGGTTTCACTGAAATAGTGTTAACACATTGTATTTTATATCTTCTTTTGCTTTAAGAAAATCTTTTGAGTGAATTTGCTTCTTGAAAGCATTACTACTGCTTATCAAAGATTTCAGCTCTCCTTTTGAACATAGCCTCTCAAAAGCAGGTTTACATGTGCTAGGATTGCAGATCCTCCAAAGCAGGGTTGCACATCATAGGGCTGCATCTCAGCAGAGGAACATAGAGAGCTGTAGCTTCCAAAATCTGGTTTGCACAGGGTAGGGATACATCTCTTTAGAAGAAAGTTTGCACATAGTAGGGCTGTAGATCCTCAGAGGCAGGTTTTCATACAGTAGGGCTACAGTCTTCAGAGGAAGGTTTTCACACAGTAGGGCTGTAGGTCCCCAGAAGCAGGCTTTCAGTGTGACTGGTTCTGACCACTGACAGGTGAGCAGGATCACAGAGTGAAGTAACTTCAGACTTCTAGTGATCTTCAGAGCCATTATCAGCTGCATCTGGGTGTTTGAATGACCATATTGGGCAGAGCACTCTTCTCAATGCTTCTTGGGCACGTGTAATTGGGAAGTTGATTCATATTGAACTAAGATGCTGAGGTGTGGTTGTTTCTCTGCAGTATGACCTAGGCTATTCTGACTCTGTGTGAGCATCACTTATATTTTATCCTTCTGCCCTAGGTGATGCAATGTCTTCATAAGCTTTAGTTCAACCCTAATACCTCACTACTGCAGAAACATATGCAGATGACAGACCAATGATTAGGATTACCAGTTAAATACAAGACTCCCAGCTCCACTCAAAAGTCAGATAAGGAATAATTCAAGAATAACTATGTTCCATTCAACACACAAGAGATGCTTATATCAAGAAAATCATTCCTTCTTTATCTGAAGTTCAGTGCCGGCTACTCTGTATTTTCATCAGCTAAATCCGACAACCCTTTTTGTTTTGTCTCAAAATGCCTTTGGAGTTCACCCACTGAGGAACATTTCACCAGGTCACAAAGCTTTTTTTCCTTTAAAGACTAGGGTTGCTGGTACACTGCATGCTGGAATGGCTTCGGCATTTGATTTTTACTCCTGGGGAATCATTTGTTCCTAAAAGCAAAACATGTCAGCAGGGTGTTGCAGTATTGTTTTGTTTTGTTTCCAGTACTTCTGCTCAGGTTTCAACACCGTGTTCATCCTGGGTTGTCAGGGCAGGGCAGCTTCTCTACTATGTGCCTGATGGATGTATGCGCACATTTAATCTTGTTGCTTGCTCAGGAAGGAGTCTTTGTGACTTCAGTTTCTACTTCTGTACTCTATCCATCATATTTCTTTTCCATCGCTGTTTTAATCTCCTTGTCTTTTGTTTCTGCATTATAAGAGCATTTTTATAGTACCTTCCACATCACTGACTCAATTTTCTGCAGTGTCAATTCTGTTCTTTATAGTTTCCAATGTGGGTTTTAATTCTGCCATTGAGTTCTTGGTTCCCCACATCCAGCTACTTTCTTTTCATCTGATTAGTGTCTAAACAGCTCAGCTTCTATTTTTATTCCACAAATTCCTCGTTTTTCTTGAGTTTTATTGTTGTCACAAAGCAAATGCATTCTCAAATTTACTTCTATTTTTCTATTTTATAGGCATGCGCTCATTTTCTGCAGCTTGAACATAATTTCCATCTTTTTTGTTCTTAAAAAAAGTCTCTTTATTTATCCATTGCCATCTCTAACTCTTCTTTTAACAAGATGCCACCTCTCCCTGTCTGTGTTTACCAGTAAACAACATGAGCTAGTTCTTGCTTGCATACCTTGCATCTGCAGAAATCTCATCTCAGGTCTTCTCATAGGACAATTTATTATATTCAGGCAGTAGCATAGGAAGTGTTTATCCAGTGGGCTCTGCTGTCCTGAAAATCAGCCATCACTCCTCCTGGAAAGCTGCCTCTGTTGCGAGGCCTTATTCTGAGATAATGTGAAAGCAGCCTGCAGTTTCTGAGACCACAGAGAGTGCATGAAGCGGGAGATGGATAAACATGGGTTTGCAGAGCAGGTGACATGCACAGAGGTGCATAGAAGTCTCCTGCACTTCTGTGTCTGTCCTGCTGTGCACCTTAAAACACTCTCTTCCATCATGCCCCACTTGATGCAACCAGTTTGACCTCAACAGTCCCTAGCCCAGACAGGCACATTTGGCCTCACTGGGAAACCAAGCCATCCTCCCTAGGTCTCAGTTTTAACAATTACCAGATAGGATATCATAGTACAGGACAAAAATTCAGATGTCTGTTTTCCTCTGAAGTCCCCGTTCTCTCTCACACCTGGCTGTGATGCCATGCAATGTCACCATGGCATCAGTCAAGCTTGAATTTCTCTGGAGCTGCCTGCAACTCATGGCCAGCTGTATCTCTCTTGTGACTGTCAGTGATTGTGCTGTGAGTGTCATTAGTGACTAAATACAGACGCAAGAATTGAGTGACAGCCTTCGTGTTCTGTGGAGATCTGTGTTTGACACATAAATGCAGGTCCTGTTGGAAAAATGGTTGGGGTCAGGACTGCAGAGTCTCGCATCAAGGTCCAGTCTCCCATTTTCCCTCCTTGAATGCAAAGAGAACTCTCAGGGGATGGACAATGGTCCATCAATGACAGTACAGGCACCAGCAAGAAGAGAGTGATGTCAGGCATGCTATGGGTACTGTGCAGCTGTCCCCACAGGCAAGGACCTACCATTGCTGATGTGCGTGACAGTCCTGTTTTAACAAGCATCTGTTTAGTTTATTTACAGTTGCAGGATTCTTCTCGTGTGGGAGTCAGGTGGTGAGAATCATTATTTTTTTTCTATTCCCCAAAGCCCATGGGGGAGGAAAGAAGACAGACTCTCTTGTCTACACCTAACAGATTCTTGAACAGCCACAGATGGACATGACTTTCCTGACCCTTGACTTGTCACAAAAGAAGGCAAGCACATTTGACAAGCAGACTGCTGAAAGCATTACTCTAGATACCATTCCTAATGCCCCATCAGTGCTGTGAACTCAGTAGGTGCTTCAAGCACATTGGTTATTATCATCACATCTTGCACTCTCCTCATAGATGGGTATGCATGCTGCTGACCTACTGTCCTTCCTAGGTGGCTCTTTCATCTTGTCATGCCTCTGTGTTCCTCTGGCATCTTTTAACAGCATGGCACATGCTAATTTCCTTAGTAAATAAGGGAGGTGCTTAGAATCTTTAGGTGGCATGGAGTGGTGTGTTCTAACCATCTCACATCTATTTTCTATTATAATACACATAGCTCAAGATAGGAGTCTGTGTCTTGATGATCTCCATATTCTATACATAGCTCACAGTAGACTTTCAGAACCATGTTCCACACAGAAGTGGAGTGGGCATAGTGGCCGCATGTACCTTCATTTTGATGATTGCTGGGTTGTACTGCACGGCATCTCCCCATTCCCTCATCAGCTCAGTTGTTGGCAGCTCCCTGTAGGCCAAGGTGGTGATGTACTCACTGGTCCCTCCTCGCACCAGAACCACCAAATCTTCTACCATGGTGCCCCTCTTGTTTCTGTCTGCAACAGATAGGAAGAGTGGCACAGAATCAAAGGGTCTACTTTTGTGCCTTGGAATTTACTTCAGCTAAAGAAACAATTGAGATCCCATGATTATTAGTGAGCTTGTCTGGGAGACATGGTAGAAGAAGACTTGTTCTTGACCATAGGGAAGTGATAGGGCAACTAGAAACTTACCCAATCATGCATAGTTCAAATGAGGAGAACAAGGATAGATTCATCATGAACATATACACATGCCAATTATTGAATTAGTATATGGGAGAGAGACAGAGAGAAGTAGGTGACTGATGATAAATAGATAGATAGATAGATAGGCAAAGAGAATTGTACATAGATGATAGATAAATAGAAAGATGATAGGTAAATAGACTCATAGATGACAGATAGATATGGACAAATAATAGACTGGCAAGGAAGTGGGCAGACAGGGAGAGAAGCATTGTAATTAGTGAGGCTTTGTGGGTGATGGTGATGTTCTATTCAGGGACTTGTATAGGCACTAAGCTACAAGACTCCTTAGAAGAGTCTAATGCGTCCTGCCCCACCACAATGCACAAATAATCAACAATATCAGCAACTCATTCTCAAGTGTAAGTGGTTGCTCTAGCTAGCAGCTAATTCCTGCATTTGTGCTTTACTGCATACTTGTATACTGCTGCCACTGTGGGATTTTTCACATGGCAGGCAGACCCGTACAAAGACAACTGAGGGAAAGCAGGATCAGAACACTGCCACCCAGTCTCAGTCCTACTCTCCACAGGCTAGCTTCCCAACTCCCCGTACTGCATCCAGGTATCTGCTTCTAGACCCTGGCTCTCCACCCAGGCTGCCTTTACCCCCAACTCTACCCTGGGGCCTCTGCCATATGGATGGTGCTGGGCCAGATTTCCTAATCTCTTTGGCATGCTTTCTGTCAGGTAAGGCCCAGCCTCTGCCATCTTGCCTTGGCCCCCGGCATTCTATCTCTAGCCAGGACCACTCCCAGCCCCTAGAGCAGAGTGATTGTTATTAGCACTATGTGCAGTAGTACTCACACTCTGGTTGTAATTCATGGTTCTGGAAACTTAGCCTTAAAGTTTCAGCCTAGATATTGGTCTTTTTGCCTTTTACCTGCCCCACATGCTCACTGTGAAAATGGGAATTCAACCTCATTCATTTTTTTGTGTGTATTCATTACACTAGTAGGAAATATTTATTAGATTATTATTTTCATTGAAATGCTTTGGACTATCCCGTGCTTAAAGAAAGCCTGGGACCAATGGTACCAGGGAGAGAAAAGCTACAAGGGCAGAAGTTCCGTGAGCCTGCCTCACCTTTGATTTCTTTCAGAATATCATTGCATTTCTTCTCCGACACACCCAATTTGAGGTAGACATTAGAGACCGCACCACCAATTTGGAAATCTTTTCCAGCACAGGCAGAAACTTCGTTAAACGTGTAATCTGAAGGAAAAAGGAAAGATGTCCATGATCTACTAGGTCATTCACTTTGTCCCTTTTCCTATGGTTGACTCTAATCCTAACCCTTCCTGGTGTCCTGGGGTCCTGGGTTCAAATAAACATGCCCTCAATCTGTAGACAAGAGGTATAGGGGGCAGGGCAGAGACCCCACAGAGATCAGTCCCAAGTTCCTGCTCTAGCCTCCTCCTTAGTGTCTCTGAGGGTAGCTGCAGCCTTCAAAGAGGTCATGTGTTCAGAGCTGGCCTTTAAAACTCAGACTCCTCATCAGGTACTCTCTTAGTTAAGGTTACTGTTGCTGTGATGAAATATCATGACCAAAAGCACATTGGGGAGGAAAGGGTTTATTTAGCTTACCATCACAATTCACCATCAGAGGAAGTCAGGACAGGAACTCAAGCAGAGTAGGAACCTGGAGGCAGGAACTCATGCAGAGGCGATGGAGGAGTGCTGCTTACCAGCTTTCTCCCCATGGCTTGCTCAGCCTGCTTTCTTATAGAACCCAGGACCACCAGCTGAGGGCTGGCTCCACCTACAATGGGCTTGGCCCTCCCACACCAATCACTAGTTAAGAAAATGCCCTACAAACTGGGCAGGGGTGGTGCACGCCTTTAACCCCAGCACTCGGGAGGCAGAGGCAGGTGGATCTCTGTGAGTTTGAGGTCAGCCTGATCTACAGAGTGAGTTCTAGGACAGCCAGGACTGTTTTACAGAGAAACCCTGTTTTTAAAAAGCAATAAATAAATAAAGTAAAAAAGATGAGAGAGAGAGAGAGAGAGAGAGAGAGAGAGAGAGAGAGAGAGAGAGAGAGAGAGAGCGCCTTACAGCTGGAGCTTATGGAGACATTTTCTTAAGTGAAGTTCCTCATCTCAGATAACTCCAGCTTATGTCAAGTTAACACAAGACTAGCCAGCACAGGTACCTAGTGACAGGTCCAGTGGCTATGAGCTAGCTCCACCTCTTGCCTGCCCTGGTATACATTTCTCTAATCTTTGATAAAGGAGGAAGAGGTCTGCATTAATTGGCTGAAGTAATGCATATATAAGTCTGAAAGTACCTGGGGGGTGGGTGTACAAATTTCCCCTACTTATTTGAGGATCCCTTCCTACCTCATCCCCCCAAAATTCTCCCCAAGGTATCTTCTTCCCTGGGGCTTGCTGAAATGTATGTAAGACCTTTCTAAATTGTTTTAAATCTGGCTGAGGAAGAGAGGCTTGTTGACTACTAGGCTTTCGAGCATTACTAATGTAGAGCAGAATTTCCCCCAGAGTAGTCTGAACCCTTAAAATACAAATCTCATTGAGATAATAGGTATTACAAGAAAAAGAGCCTCCATGGTCATGCAAATTTTCTAACTGTGCATGAAATGAGGCAGGGTTTTATCTCTTTCTTTGGCAGCACTCTGGAGAACTCTGAGGGTGACGTCAATTGAATATTTCTGAATTGTATGATTCTCTAGGCCATTTATAGGGGGCAGTTTTAGAAACCACGGACAGAACCTTTGGCACAACTCTGTTGGAGGACGGTACCTTTGATCTTGGTAGACCCAAGTCCTGAAGACATGCATTTACATCCTATGTCCTCTTGCAAGTACATTGGAATTCTAAGTCCTGGCTCCGCTGATAAAAACCATGTAACCTAAAACAGTTCACAGAACCAAGCAAGCGCTCAGTCCTGAGGCAGAATAAAGAAAGCAGGATTCACAGTCTAGACTGGTAATTGAAGACAGTTGGAAAGATCTGGAATGTTTATGGGCAAGATGGAAAGAGAGGGGAGTGTTGGGACTGACCATTAGTCTGGAAAACCATAGTAGTATAAGCCTTCGCTAGTGAAAGTGTCATCGCTGGGCAGTGGTGGCGCATGCCTTTAATCCCAGCACTCGGGAGGCAGAGCCAGGTGGATATCTGTGAGTTTGAAGCCAACCTGGGCTACAGAGTGAGTTCCAGGACAGGCGCAAAGCTACACAGAGAAACCCTGTCTTGAAAAACCAAAAAAAAAAGTGTTGTCTGTAGACCAGCATGCTGGGCATCATCTCCTCATCTCCAAGGGTGGTAGAAAGACAGAACTTCGGATCTTGCCTAACTAATTCAAGTGTGAATGAACCATTGGTCACAGGATGAGCCTATGGTATTAACTATAAAACAAATATAAGGACTAGGACTTATAAGGACAGTCAGAGTGCTTGTCTTACAAAATAAGTAACAGAGTTTGGATCTCCAGAAACCCATGTGAAGGCGAGGTGGGCACCATGGCCTGCCTGTAATTGCAGCTCCTAAATGTGGAGACAGGGGATCCTCACAGCAGGCTGGCTAGGGAGACTAGCCATATCAACAAGCTCTAGGATTGATTGAGAGACTCTGCTCCAATTGCTATTGTGGAAGAACACAGAGGATGTTTCTTGGCATCAACCTCACGCCTGCATATGCACGTGCAATTATTTATACATGAACCCACACATGCATGTGCTCACACACATGCAAAAAAAAACCATGATGTATATACACACATATATAAACACATGAAAAATGGAAAAGAAATTTGGAGGTAGATCTGAAGAAACTCATTGAAGAACAGAAAAGAAATTGAGGTTGATTCCTAAGCCTTTGGCTTGTGCCTCTGGCTGGATGGTGGAACCATTTTGGAGATGTGGAAACCACAGAAGAAACCAGGTGCAGTGATCCAGTGATCCAGGATGAATATGTGACCTGGTATTCAAGCTTGGATCCTGTTGGATACAGAAGCTATGGAAAGGAGGATCACCCAAAGAGAGAGAGCTGGGCTGGGAGGACCAACATGGCCAAGCCCAAAAGAGAAGGATAAAGACCAAGGCCTCTATGGAGGTACAGCTAGGTTAGGGGGAGGAAAATGGGGATACAGTTCAAGACTCTTCCACCCAAGCTTTAGTGTAAGACTCTGCCACTTATCCCTGTGCTGGCCAGGACAGGTGTGTCCCTTGGGCAATGCACCTCCTCGCTCCATGAGGTCTTTGTTCATGATAAGTGTGTACTCGTAAATGCCCCCAAGCACGGCCTCGGTGATGAAGTGGGTCCCAAAGTCACGAAGGAGATCTCGGTACTCCCCGTAGCTGTACTCTAGGGGAAGGCTCTTCACCCTCTGGAGGAATTCATAATGGAGCATGAGGCTTCTGGACTTCAGCTTGTAATGGGCCACTTCAAGGACAGAGCGCGCATGCAGAAACTTGCTTTTCTAGATGAAATACCAACATGGGAAAAACAGACCTTTGCAGTTAGGAATCGTGAATGGGAAAATGAACTTTACAAATACCATCCACTGTTCTTGCCTGGGGTCATCATGCTTATGATTCCTTTAGGATATCTGAGAAGATTTCAGTTCTCATAAATATTCCAGCATCCTTTTTGGCTTGGATGAGCACTGACTGCATCTTGTTACAGGAGCAAATGAAGATAGTAAAGGAGAATCAGAAACCTGCACTACAGGATGCATGTGGCTACTTGAGGCCACACAGATAGGGCCAGCATTTGCTAACTCGTAAGCATCAACCATTCACCTATGTCTTTTGAAAACAAAAACCTATACCACTCAAGGTGAACAACTCCTTGGGAAGGTGACCATGGCAGGTGTCCATTAACCATGGCCTGTAGAACATATCTCCTGCCTGTTTTGCAAACACTATCATTCCCTTACATATTGTCTGCAGTGTCTGTCACACTGCAGTGGCAGAGTTGTGTAGTTGCAACAGAGACCCTCCCTCAGTATTGTGTAACGTCTCAATTATTTACTCTGGTCCTTTCCAGGAAAAGTCTGGAGTCCCCTGGAAGTATGGCATACACTGAATGCTGGTGTTGCCAGATGAGAGCTGGGTATCACCACATGAGAGGTGATGAGACTTGCATGGGGTTATATCTAGGTCCTTGCATGGGGGAAAGCAGGGATAGGGGTTGGGGCTACTCTATTCCAACTGATCCCTTCAATTGCAAAGAGCTATTCAGTCTTGCATGAACTGTCACTAAAACCACCAACTTTGGTCCAACCTGGCTTGCTGTCACCCCATTCTAGTCCTGTCCAGTGACTCAGAACCCTTTTTCTCTTACCATGACTGCCTAAGCAGTCACTGAGTACTTGGCTCACACCTTTGCCAAATCTCCTCCACTCTATCCCTCTTTGCAGCTTTATGTAAGTTGTCAGAATCAAAATGGAGTTGACTGTGGCAGCTCTAACCGAAGGAAAGTAAAAATACATCAGGCCTGGAAGTTATGAAGGAAAGGTACTCTTTCATGATTGTCTAATAATAGGAGCTGCCATGGAAGACAGCCACAGCAACCACATACAAAAATACACTACTTCACGGGCCTTTGACCAGTTACTGCCCAGCTTCAGAATGGTGTCACCCATGGTGCTAGAACCAACCCTGTGGCCAAGGACTGTTGTTTGCAACCCTCCTTATTTTTGCCTTTAAAAAAATGTTCCTTGCGTTAATCCCCTGAGAACAATGCAGCTGACTAGAGCATGCTCACTCCCGTTGCGATAGTCCACGGTTCCCAGATACACAAAGGCATTCTCTGACAGTCTTTTCTGACTGCTATTACAGTTGACACATTATTATAAAACTTCCTCTTTGCTCTCCCTTCTCTCACTAATCTGCTTTCAGTGCCCTCGTCAGAGCCAAGATCCCAAACCTCTGAAAACATTATGATAATACTCCTTCAGGCAAAAAAAACCCAAAACAAAACCAAAAAATCAAAACCAAAACAAACAAACAAACAAACAAACAAACAAACAAAAAATAAGCAAACATGGCCGTGTTAGCTCACTATTTATTGCCTTCGGACAGAATCGGCTCTCTTACTTTGGATACATAACCTTCACATTCCATCCACCAGTTCTCTGACTGCTGTCAGCTGCCCTGACATTGAGTGTTCCTCTCCATGCCTGTCCATTTTCATCAGCCACACTGTGTATTGGCCTATATCCAACTCTGTACTGACCCCTAAACCTGCATGAGGTAACTGTGTAACGACCATTTCCTCTGCTTCTAAGTTCTTCTGGACATGAGTTTACTTGTCTTTCAATTCTCCATTTAGCTCTTGCCTATTTAATACCATCCCTGGAAGTCCCAGGAACTCTCCTTTTCTAAGCTTGCAGAACACCTCACTCAACTTGATTTCCTTTAGAACTTACACTGTTGCTATATTGCGGCTGATATAAATGATTAAGTGATATATTGCTTACAAGCTTACCTCTCCCACCAGACTGAGAATATGAAGGTAAGAACAATTTGTTATATATTTCATAAAGAGCTCGAAGAGATAAGTTTGAAGGTGCCCAACAAAAAAAAAGTTACAAATCAAAGAGACATAAATGCTAATTACTTGGATTTGGTCACTATACCTTGCATATATGAACCAAATCATCATACTGTAACCCAGAAAGATACCTCATTTTTGAGATAATACATCTAACTGAACAAAACAAACCTTGTAGAATTTGTCTTAGGACCCAAGACTCATGTCAGGTTATATACATGTTAGCATTGCAGAACTGGCTATGTGAATCAGGGAGGTAAGGATGGGGAGGAGGAGAAGAAGGCAGGCCATGGTGGTACCCACTGTTTCCCTTCATAATGAAGTCAATGCCTGTGGTCAGTCCTGTCCTTCATTCCTATAGCTCAGTGGGGAGTGCCTACTATGTACCATCCTGTCTAGAGATGAAGGAAACAGATTTGTCCCCCAAAGGGCCTGATCCACATGACAAGTCAATAGACGGAAGACAGTGACAGACTATTAATGTCGACTACCTGTTTCCTGCTGCTGACTATATCTGCAGCAGGGGCCTTTCAGAGGCCCTCACAATTTCTTTTGTTTTCATATAAATCACTGTAGACTTTAGGTCTTGGTTTCTTTTCTCTCATATCTCCTTAGATTAACTGTCTATTACATCACTCCTGTGTGAAAATTCTCAGTAACTAGTAGAAACTTCATACTTCTTTACCCCAGAATTCGAAGTCTTAAGTCTGCCTAATAGCCTATCACCCATTTCTTTAACACATTACCCCAATCACTTCCCTTACCCACTGCTTTTCTCCCACCAGGCTACTGGCTTTGTGCTTACCTCGTGGTCAAGGACTAGACAAGGATTAGATTAGTATTGTGGAATATCTCTGGGGCGAGATGGGAGTCAAGCCACTGTGTCTGAGGGAAGCACAAGGCAGAGCAGCCTGGGCTAGTAACCTGGGGTGAGGGAGCTGATAAGAGGTAGAAAGAAAGCAGGAGAAAGAGGGGGTGATGGTAAAGGCAACCCCACCAGACGTCTAGGAAGTCACAGAAGAGTGGGGTCACTTTCCAGACACTTATCTCAAACAAAAGTCTAATTACAGTGTGTTGAAAAACCTCCAGATAGGTTTCATTGGGGGCAAATCTGCACAATAAACTTATTGAAAACCAAAGGAAGGGCTTATAAAACAAACAAACAAAAAACAAAACCAACCAAAATCAAACAAAAAAACCCAAAAAACCCAGAAAATAACATCACTAGGCTTGACAATCTAAAAAAGTAAGTCAATGTGAGACTAAGATGTTATCTACGAGGGTATTTTCAGGACAACAGAAACTTTCTTGTTTACTTGGACCAGGGATAATGTAGAATTCAGAAACATCTGTGAGCATAAAAGAACACACATACATTTAAAAGCAATAAACTGATTTTCTTTCAAGAACAAGAAAGAACTCTAAGTTGGGTGGAAGGGGCGCGGTGTGAGGGGAGGGACCTGGGAGGAGTTGGGGGAAGGAAATGAACATGATCAAAATACGTTTATGAAATTCTCAAAGAATAAATGAAAATAAGCCAATCAAAGCCGCAGACAGGTACTTACAGTGTGGGAGAATCGTTTGGTTCTTTGAATGTAATGTCTACCTCCATTGCTTTCTTCTTTAACTCCAAACTCAAACAAGCTAACTATTTTAAAACCAAACTTGAAAGCGGAATTGCTGGTTTCTTTCTTTGTCACATTGTGTTCAAAATCTGCATATGATTCATATTCTGTAAATGCAAATTCATATTTGCCTTGGGTCTGTAGGAAGAAAAGAAAATGTGTTTTTTAATATGCTTCGGTTGAAATTGTCATCAGGTAGTCACTGTGTTCTTGCTGTACAGCAGAGCTCTGCTAGCAACCCTACAAACACAAAACTATCAGGGACAGCTTGCCTCCCTGCCTCTGGACCCCTGCTCCAGCCAGAGAGACAGATACATTCAATACTACAGTTCATGCTGTGTCGGGGGTGTCGGGGCTGTGGATTGGTCTTGAACAGAGGCGTGAAGCAAAGCAGGAGGGGCTGAGCAAGTGCCGGGACACTGGTATAGATGAATCAGAAGGTGCAGGAATGAGGGAAACGAGTGGGTGTCATGAAAGAACATTCTGGACAATGGAGGCTTTTGAAACTCTTGTTCTGAACTGACTTACTGCGAGCATGAGCCAAGAGAGGAAGAAGTGGGGTGGTCATTCTGGGACAGCAGGCTGGTTAAGCTGGAAGGAGCAAATCGAGATGTGAAGTCACAAGCCAAGAAGGAGGTGCCAGGAGGAGTGCAGTGCACTGATGATGTGGGACTGAGGCAGCAGCAGGGGAGTGAGGGAGACTGAGTTACCACTTGTCTTAGAGAACTCAACACAGCTGTATGCTAAGTCATTAGTGCTCACTGTCCTTGCATGGGGGATCTGCCAGAGGCAGTACCTCGATGGACCTGGAGTGACCAGTCATCCCCACCTCCATTCCCATGGGCATCTGGATACTTGTAATTTCTATAAAGTCCCACAGCACAGGAAGGGAACAGCAATGATGTAGTCGTGGCCTAAAGGAGGGCTTCTGGAATATTGGTGCTGCTTTCAGAAGGTGGATGACTTGGAACAGTTGGCTTCTCTAGGACCCAGTTTCTCCATATATAAAATGGAGATGACAGTTGTCCCTCTCATTAGACCTGTTCTGAGGACTGGGCTCACACAGGAGCCTGTCAGAGCTTTTACTAAATGCTGGCTAAGGAGAGTAGCAGTTGGAAGCTGCACATGATGGGATATGGCTCCTGTAATGTGTCCTTGGAAAGCAGAGGTTGAGAGAATGGACTAGACAACTTGATGGAAGGTCTGTTTAGTCCTAGGCTGTTTCCTCCTTTTGATGGTCAGTAAGTATTGCAGAAAGGACCAGAAATGGAGGATGAGGAGAAAGGAAGTTGCCCAGCCTTCAGAACTATATGCCTTTGGTCATGGAAACCACCACCAAGATGAATTTCTCAGTCAAACCCCCTTTACTTCACAGCTGGGGTACCTGAGGGCAGAGTGGAAAAGGAACTTGGCCTAAAGTAAAATGTCTTCCCATTAGATGGCAAGGGTTCTGGTAGTGTATCTACATGATGTATTCCATAGTCTACTCTGTGATTGGTGTGTCTGGGAGTATATAGGAGTCATAGTACAGATTTATATGGGTGCAGCATTTTATTTAATTATTTAAAGGTTTATTTGTGTGTGTATGTGTTTATGATTGTGTATGTATGTGTATCTGTAAATGAAGGTGTCGGCAGAGGCCAGAAGAGGCTGTCCGATGCCCTGGAACTGGAGTCACAGATGGTTGTGAACCACCTGACGTGGGTGCTGGGAACTTAACCTGGGTCATCTGTAAGAGCAGCTCCTGCTCTTAATCACTTAAACCATTGCTCCCACCCCGGGGGGCACATCATTTTCTGACTTTAGGTACTTAGATCAATGCCTGGCCTGATAGGCAAAGACACGGTAGCAATAGGAACAAGTGTTAACATGAGCTGAGGACTCCCTGTGACAGCAAGTATGATGCTGTCCGCTCAGCCACATAATCTCACTTACCATGTCACTTCAGGGAGGAAGTTTATAACTTCCAATATAAAGATAGGACAAGAGAGGTGCTGAGCATTTAGGACTTCGTAGGCAATGAGCAGACAAGCCAGTAGACTTGTGTGACACCAAATCCTAAGCTCCGTCTTTAGTGTAGCTATTGATACTATTGTACTAACATTACTGCCATTATAGTTCCTGTTGCTGTTGCAGTACCTGGCACACTGTCAGCACAACGTCTTGTGTTAGAGCACACCCACTGGATATCAGAAGACACCGGGGCTCCAAGAGAAAGGGGTACAGAAAAGCTGCACAGCTAGCAGGCTTCAGAGTGCTCCGTGATTCCCTCACTGCCAGCAGCAGCTGCCTGGCTGTCCCTTACCTGTGGGGTGTAGCCTTCCACATTGTACGGCTTCCTAAACTTGGTGTTCAGGATGTAGTGCGGGGAGCATCCTCCACCATAATACTGATGATCGAGAACGGGGCCCTCAAAAGTGTTTGTGAACAGGTTTATCCTGGAAGGAGGGCACAGACGGGGTGGAAAGCTTAGGATTTAGGGTTGGTTGGGTTACCTTTGTTGGCAGTTAGCAGATCCCACTGAATCAAACTCAAAAGTCCTGGTTCCACAAGCAAGGCCCTGGGAGTCTGGTTCATGCCAACTCAACACTCTCTGTTTTTGTGTTATTATTTTATGAGTATGGGTGTTTTGCCTGTATATATGTCTGTACACCATGTGCATGCCTGGTACAGTACCTAGAGGTTGGAAGAGGGCATCAAATCGTCTTAGACAGTTGTATGTGCTGGGAATTGATCCCTGGTCCAGTGGAAGAGCAGCCAGAGTTCTTAACTACTGAGCCATTTCTTCAGTCTCACAAGCTTAGTATTTTCATCTTAGACCACTCCCAACACACCTACCCAGCCCTGTCTCTTGCCCTTTGTTCTCTTGCTGGCATGCTCTGCTCCTCCCAGGGGAAGCCCCTCTCCTATAGGCTTAGTTGGACTCCGCTACTGACTTTGGATGTCTTCTCTGCTTCTTTCTTACTTAACTTTTGAGGGCCTCAATCCTGAGAAGAGCTCCCATCCCAGTGAAGAGTCTCTCTCTAATGACAGTCTTTAAGGGTCAAGATAGGCAATTGTCTAGGGAGGAGGTAACTTTTATTCCCATTCACTGCTTTGCTTGCCAGTGGCATCCTTTACAGTGATTCTTATCATGCAGAACGTCATGGTCTCACTCATCCATCTGCAGGCTTAGATGCGGCAGGATGTGGCAAGAAAGCAGGATGAATGCCAGGCCTATTTGGTCCTTTCTAACCTTGCTCCTTTGACCTTACAGAAGATTGGACCAATGCTTATGTCCCCAGATGCTGAGACACACATGGACTACAGACCTATCTTGGAAACCCACTACTTCACAAAGTGCTCAGAACCCCCTTTTTTTCAGCATGGTGCATGCTGGGAACTAGGGACAGACCCAGGTTAAACCTATGACATAAGTTGTCAATAAGATTCAAGAGCCATGCTTAGAATTCCTCTGACACAACAAATTGTGAGACTTAAGGACAAGGCTCACCCTAGTCCTTCAACAGTCTTCGTGTTCCTAGGTCAACCTTCCTGTGACCCATGCCTATTCATGGCATGGCTTCTAGAACAATATATAGTTGACCTCAGAGAATACATAGAGGACCTAGTTAAACTACAGCTTTTCTATTCCAGAAAGGAGAGCAGTAAGTGTCCCTTTCCACTCCCCTGTCCATCCGTCAGAATTCCATTTAACACTGTGCCTTCCCATCTGCCCAGCAGGACTGCAGCAACTCACCCATGAGCCAGATTGCCAATGGCCCAGTACTGCTCCATTTCCTGTTGACATTTTTTATAAATCCTCCTACAGTTTGCTTCATCTGATTGGTCTCCACAGTCATTGTCCCCATTGCAGAGGAGTCTGCGATTCACACACCGCCCTGGGGTGGAGAGAGGGGACCACACTCACATGGCTGTGATAAGAGGAGAGGCATTGCTGGTACCAGGTGTGTGGCTAGGCCGTTAGTGCCTGTGCTGATCAGTCTTCGTGTATCTGCCCTGAATGAAAATGACACTGATAGTTCATCCCCTTCCTCTCCCCCAAGGAGTTCAGTGCCACACTTTTGAAGGCACCGAGGAGAGAGTATCTGGAACCACCTGTGAAACTGAATCAATGTGCCTAAGAAGGAGGGAAGGGATGGACCACCAGGTTGATAGTCTGAAAATAGCCCTCCTCCTGTCACTGAGGCTAGGAAGAGGTGGTGGGTAGCTTCTCTGAATGGCACCAGCTAAGCCATCTTGTATCTCTGGCCCAACCTGCTGGCCTCAATTCCCTCATCTGTAAAGGAGAGAAGTTATCACAGCTATCCCGCCATGACACAGCTGTGAGTGAGTGAATAAAACAGAACTGACTCATGGAAACTATTGCAAAAGCCTATCATAGCCAGACTTGGTGCTTTGGAGAGCCAAGTAAGTGTTTGTGGCACAGTTGGGACCTTTACCTGCCTAATTGTGAATCCTTTCCCTGACACACACATTGCCTTCAGCTGCAGCATCTGTTTTTCCCCTTCAACTTTTTCTCATATGACTTCACTTGCTTTTGTATTTGTGCATTCTCAGGGAGATAAAGCCCACGAGACAGGTAGCTCTGCTTCCTTAGACACATCAGGTCATTTTTAACCGATGTCCTTCGGTTATAAAAAGCAGAAAAATAACAATCGGGTCTTCAAATGTTTCTTACAAGGCATTTAAAGTAAAGCCTGCATGAATAGCCATTATAGCTCTAGGCAAAACCATGGAACACTGGCCATAATGAGTCCTTGGGTACACTGTAAAAAAGTCTTTCAGATTTATTGGATGGAATTTTACATTTGCAGTAAGCCCTGGAAATCGCTCTGATAATCCCTGTCTGTCTTTTGGAAGCTCTAGACCATAATCCACATGAGTACAGTGAATAGAACTCCCCTCCAGATACTTTAGGGCAAAGTATCTCTGTGTGAGAGACTTGCAGATGTGGAGACAGATTTACTGGGATTAGATGAGTGCATAAATTGAGAAAACAGTTTTTTACTTGCTGCTTCTGCAGTAGATAATCATTCATTTGTGTGATGTTTCCTTCCTTCGGTCCATCTTCCCATCTGTCTTCCATACTCCCTTTTCTTCTTTGTGGAAAATCAACATTTTTACTGACTCGATCACACATTTGGACTTATGGTAGACTCACTGATACTGAAATGCAAATAGCAAGGCCCATGTTTCCAAAGCCTTTTGTTGGTAAGTGATGCTGATCACACCTCTCAACTGTTTCAGGTTTGGCATATTTCACCCTACCCTAGGGCTCTGAGAGCAGTAGCAGAGCTAATATGTGACAGAGAGCTTTTATCTCCATTTGTCACATGATGCTATGACCAGTTTATAAGATATTAACATCACCCTTGTGGCGGTTTGAATGGGAATGTCCCCCCTTAGGCTCATATGCTTGAATAATTGGTCTCCAGTTGAAACTATTTGGGAAAGATTAAGAGGTGTGGCCTTGCTGGAGGAGATATGTCACTAGGGGTGGGCTTTGAGATTTCCATTGACTCCTGGCATTGTAAGTTAGTTCTCTCTGTCTCCTGCCTTCAGATCAAGATGTGAGCTCTCAGTTGTTTCTGCTGCCATGCCTTTGTTCTACTATCTTGGACTCTAACTCTTTGAAACTGTAAGCCCAATTAAATTCTTTCTTCTATAAGTTGCCTTGGTCATGGTATCTTAGCAATAGAAAAGTAACTAATATAACACTCAATTTATATTAATGTAATCAAAATCCAAAAAGTTTAAATAAAATCTTCTGACTCACACAGTCAGATTTAGACTGACCTAGGACTTTTGATTCCAGCATACCTAACTTCTAAAGTCAGCAAATACAGCCAAGCTTCCAGATTCTCACCTGTATGTTCCACTACTGACTTGCTGGATGATTTGTGGCAAGTAACCTCTCGGAGCCTCACCTTCTCAGGATGCAAAATGTGGATAATAATGATACTACCTTACCATAGGCATGTTTTCATGGGATGATACACAGAAAAGGAGGTTGAGGCTTGCAGTAAGGGGTCTCCCTGACCTGTCCTGCAACCCTGATCATGAACCCTGTATGTCTGGCCCTCCATTATCACAAGCTACTCTCCGCTTTTCAAGCTTCTCTTCTCCTTTCCACATTCATTCATACCTGTCTGTGCACACACAAAGCCTTCACATCGCACTTGACTTCTGCATGGTTGGTTGGTAACACAGTCTTCAGCTTCCTTGTCAGAGAAGTCACACAATTCCCCATGGAACTGGGAGGACCGGAGCAAGTAAGCATGCCTGTACTGTAGCAGAGAGAAAGAAAGTGAGCCGAGGATGGGACCTCAGAGACCTCAGGAGCTAAGGACACTGTATACAGATGGTCACCAACCAAGCTGTGGGTGCAGGGAAAGCATACAGTTGGCTGATGGCTACGTGCCCAATTCCTGTGCTTCCTTCACCACATACACTGAGGGTCTGTGCAGGGCTGGCACTTTTCTGACTGTTTCTCCCACTGCACCACATCCTCCCTGAGTTTGGGGTACTTGTCTTGAATCTCTGTTTCTGCAGTGGCCTGCCAAGATTTGTTCGGTGTGAAAAAGGCCCAGGCTTTGGAATAAAAAGTCAATAAAGGGGCTCATATAGTCAGTTCAACAATAAACTGACTCTCCACTTAATTATTCCGATGGGAGATTCATGTATTGTCACGTATTGCTTAAGGCATCAGTGTGATATAAATGAAAAAGTATGTGCTCTGAAACTCCCGCTGATATTAGTACTTCCTAGTTGTATGATGTTGGGCAAGCAGCTTTGTCTTTGGAGCCCAAATTTACTCATCTGTAAGCTGGGGGCAATGAATTACCTAAATGTACAGTTTAGAATTTAAATTATATAATTATATATTTGTTACATTATTTATTCATTATGAATTATGTATTCATTCATATCATATATCATTATATATCATCTCAAGCTCATGTTTTTCTGGCACAAAGTAGGTACCCAGTTTCTTGTCATTACTTTTCATTTTTATTATCCACAATTTTTAGGAATCAATATTGCCATCTCTCTCATCTTGTTCATTTATTCCGAGAATATTGATTAATCTATCTCATATTTAAAAGGGTAGGTATTTTTGCTTGCTTGCCTGTTGGTTAGTTTTTAATCATGATTAAGTGTCCTGGCCTGCCTTCCAAAGGAGAGGGTCACCCCTGGTGGCAGGAGGCACTGGCAGTGACAACACAGGCCAGCGAGCGGGTGCAGAACTGAGCAAATGCAGCAACCAACGTGCTCTGGAATCTCATGGTGAAATTCCCAATGCAAAGGGAAGAGACATCGACTGGTTTCTAGTGAGGATATCAGGGCTGAGACCTGAGAGTTGAGGAGGACCATCAGGTAGACGTGGAGGGCAGGAAAAGGACGACCAAGAACAACTTGGGTAGAGGAAGGTTTCTGGTCACACTGATCGACTAAAGGATGTATCTTCTTATTCCAGAAACCAGAGATGAATTCATCATGGATGGAGAGGAGTACAAGAAGGAGAATGAGGGGATCAGGAGAGAGAGAGAGAGAGAGAGAGAGAGAGAGAGAGAGAGAGAGAGAGCAGGGCAGGCAACCAGGGACCCCAGGCTGGGTGAGGGGGGACAGAAAGAAGTGATGACATTTAGGTGGTTTTCTAATGTTAGCAGTCAAGGTTTGGGTATGAAATGTGTGGAAAATAAGTAGAGGGCCACCCTCCCCTTCAGAGTGACACAAGGCTTAGTTACTCCTTAGATGACATCTATACAGTGGATCTGGAAATACAAAAGGGAATCTAGACAGCCATCCCCCTTATCCTTAGAGACTCATTCTTCCTAGAAGGTAGACACAGACGTTAAATAAAACTTTGAGGAACAAACAAACTAGGAAGCCATCAACAAATGAAGTACAGAAGGAACACACAATATACGACAAGATACACATACAATATACATGCAATGTCCATCCCATATACGACAGACCCATAGCAAACATCATACTAATGGGGAAAAGTTCAAGGTGTATCTTCAAAAATCTGGGGCAAAATAACATGCCTATCCAACATGGAACTGGAAGTGTAAGGCTGAACAATCAGGCAGAAGAAAGAAATAAAAGGCAGATAAATTGAAAGGGGAGAGTAAAAGGATTGATTCTATTTGTCAGTAGCATGATCTTGTATGTAAAATCTCCGAGGACATCACCAAAACACTGCTGTAGTTTATAAGTACAGTAAAGTTGCAGGACATAAAATTAACATACAAAATCCAACGACATTATGTATGCTTCAAACGAACACACTGAAAAAGAGCTTTGAAATCATTCAGTTTACAACATCCTCAAAAATAATAAGACAGGTAAAAATAAATTTAATGTAGGAAGTAAAAGATAATCATAATGAAAATTAAGAAGACAGGAGACATTTTGTTTTCACAGGTTAGAAGAAATAATGTTAAAACTTCCACACTACCCAAGGTAAATCTGAGATTTGACGGAATCTTATCACACATGAATTACTATGTTTACAGAGCTAGTGTGGGGGGATTACAAAATTTATATAGAAGCATAAACCATCCAGAAAACATTGTGAAAACAATTCTGAGCAAAAAGAACAAGGCAAGTGGCATCACAACTCAAGACATAAGACATATTATAAAGCTAGTGTGGTCAAAAAAGTATGGGGCAGACATGTAAGCATGCTCACAGACTGATGGCACAGAGAGAAAACCCAGAAGTGACTCCACATACTTACAACCAGCAGTGTTTTCTAAGGCAACAAGAACACATACTCTAGAACAAGAACACTTACTCTAGAACAAGAACACATACTCTAGAACAAGAACACTTACTCTAGGACCAGCTCTTAAAAATAAGTGGTACTGGAAACTGGGTACACAAGGGGAATCACTCAGTAGGTAATGTGCTTATCCTGCAATCAGGAGTACTTGAGCTCAATACCCCAAGCCCACTTTTAAAAAGCCAGGTGTGGTGGTATGTGCTTGTAGTGACAGGGGTGAGAGGTAGATATAGGCATAACCTTGGGACTCCCTGGCCAGGCAGTCTACTATGGTGATATTTTATTTGTACTGAAATGTGATTTTATTTGTATGTTAATAAATAAAGTTGCCTGGGGGTCAGAGCTAATAGTAAGCCATAGTGGAGCTGGGTGTTCTTGGTGCACGCCTTTAATCCCAGCACTTGGTAGTCAGAGCTAGGTAGATCTCTGTGTGGTCAAGGATACAGCCAGCATTGGAGACACACACCTTTAATCTCAATACCAACCATAGAAGACCTGGAGGTCTGTACAGACAGGCAGTGACGAGGTGGTCATGTGGTTGGGTTTACAACCAATGAGAAGGCAGAACAGAAAGTCTATATAAAGACAAACACACAGGAAGTAGGTCTCTCTTGGCGGAAGAGGATTGCTGAAGCAGAAAGGGTAAGGCTCTTAGCTCTGACCTCTTGGGCTTTTATCTTTACATTGGCTCTGTGTTTCTTATTTAATAAGATGGTTACTTCTACAGTCTACCCTGCTTGGTGATTTCAGGCAAGTGGGAGACCCTATGCCAAAAAAGGTAGATGGAGCCTAATGTGTGCATACACACAAGTACATATGAGCACACACACACACACACACACACACACACACACACACACACACACACGAGAGAGAGAGAGAGAGAGAGAGAGAGAGAGAGAGAGAGAGAGAGAGAAAGCACAAACGAATGAACACTGAAATGTATCTGTACAAAACTGAAACTAGACAGACCCTTATGTAAAAATCTAACTTACCAGGTGTGGTGGCTCATCCTCTTAATCCCAGCACTTGGGAGGCAGAAGCAAGTAGATCTCTGAGTTGGAGGCCAGTTCCACCATAGAACTACAGAGTAAGTTCCAGGATAGCCAGGGCTATGCACAGACACCCTGTCTTGAAACAAACAAACAAAAAACAACAACAAAACAAAGAAACAGAAAACACCAAACCAAACTCAAAACAAAAGTAAAGAAAACTTAAAATTGGTCAAACACCTAATGTAAGATCCCAAACTATGCAACTACTGGAAGAAACCACAGGGGAAACACTTGAGCACCTAAGTATAGAGCAAACAGAATTTCAGATAGTATAGGCAACAAAAGCAAAGCTAGACAAATGGGATCAGATTGTACTAGGACATGTCTGTACAGCCAAGGAAATGATCAACAGCTTCAAGAGACAAACTGAAGAATGAAGAAAATACCTGCGAACTTCATCTGCCAAGGAACTAATACCCAGGATATATAAGGAATTCAAAGAACAGAAAAATTCCTAATAATCCGAGTTTTAAATGGGCAAATGATCTATGATCTCTACATATATGTTTAAATGATAATATACAAATGGCAGAAATGCTGAGAAGTGGAAGGTCTTTCACACTGTTGATAGGAGCGTAAGCTAATATACCCATCATGGATTACAGAAAACAGTACTAGAGGCTGTGCAAAAGAAGGAGGAGGAGGGGAAGAGGAAGAGGGAGGGGCATGAAGACAAAGACAAAGAAGAAAGAAGAATTTTCAAAAATATTTTTAAAATCCTGAAAATAGATTTACCATACGAGCCAACAGTCTAAATACTGAGTATATATCCAAAGGTAATAACACTTTATCAAAGATAGACCAGAACTCCCATGTTTATTATAACAAGATTCACCATCACAAAAATAAGAAATCAACAAAGATGTTCATCAAAAGATAAATGGATTAAAATGGTATAATTGACAATGGAATTTTAGTCATCTATAAAAGGATGATCCAGTCATTTGTGGCAACCTGAATGGAATTTGAGGACATCATGTTAAGGGAAATAAGCTAGACAGAGAAAGCCAATCACAGGTTCTCAATCATTTGTAGAAGCAAAAATAGTTCATCACAGAAGTAGAGAATAGACTAGAGGTTGCTAGGGACTAGAAAGGAAGAAGGGGCAGAGAAGGGGATGGCTATTGATTATCAAAACACTATGCATGGGGGCTTTAATGCTCTATGATACAGAAGATAAGTCCACAATAATTGTATAGTTCAAAGTGATTAGGAACATTGATGTTGAAGTTTCTTTACATGTGAGCAAAAGATAACAATTATGTTTGTGTGATGGAAAGGCTAATTACCCTGACTTCATCATTACCCAGTGCATATAGGTATCAAATTATAAAACTATACTCCACAAATAAGCACAAAGACTGTAAATCAATTAAACAATAAAAATAAAGCCATACATATACAAGGAGATTCTCAAAAGACTAGCCCCAGGCTCTTAAGGCAAAGTAGGTTTGAGGAAGATAGAAAGGATGGAGGAAATCCACCTCTAAGTCTGGGTTGAGAGATTTTACTGAGCCCCAGCCATCCAGCTGAGGAAGTCCATGGTGAGCATCTCTGGCTAGCTGGCTCATGCTCAGTCCTTCTGGTTTATGGTGCAGATGAAGCAATTATCCAGATAATTGGATCAATGTTGATAACTTCAGCAAGAAAACCTACTCTGGAAACAGAATGATAGTGCTTGGCTCTCCCCATTGATCCAATTAACTGTGCAATTGCCCTGGGCTGGCTTCCTCAGCCTCTCCAGAGTCTTTGCCATGATAGGTCTGGGTTCCCAAGGAGCCAAGGGAATGGCAACCATTTCTCTCTCTCTCTCTCTCTCTCTCTCTCTCTCTCTCTCTCTCTCTCTCTCTGTCTTCTGGTACATCTGCTTTGTTCAGGACTGGGGTCCTGGGTCAGCTCTTCCATCACAAGGGAGCTGAAGGATTGGCACCATGGAGACAAGCTCTACCAGCAGAAAAGTCAGGAAGGGCCTCATGGCCTGAACTGAGGCTTATCTGCTACCAGAGGGCTCCAAGAAGCACTTACCTGCTCTAAGTTTTCATTTATCTGTCTAACAGAATATGTGACAGCCACCTTCTTTTCCTTGCAAAGATATCAGAGAGCAGAGTGAGCTCAAATATAAGAGATGAAGCACCTGTTACATGCATGCACCCTTACAAGTTTTCTGTTTATGGCAGTAAATGGTAAAGGCCACAGTGTGATATATGTTAGGATATGGGATATAGGGTAGGGGGGACCTGAAAAAGCATGCAAAATTTGCTTTATCTATGAGGAGCCGGGAGCTGATGAGCAGTCAGGGAAGGCTTCACAGAAGAGGTTGCCTGGAGCAGAGAATCAAGTCTGAGTCATGTTAGAAAGTGAAGGCAGTGGGAAAGGTCATTGCTAGCTGAGAAAAGGGCATGAACAGAGGTGCAGAGGGAGTGACAGAGCTGGAAGTTGACAAAAGCTGGTGTATCATAGAGATGAGGCCAGGTTAGGTGACATGCAAGTTTTGCTTTGATACTTAGGGCTCATTTGGGGAAAGACTAGTCAGATGTAGCTTTGGGGTAGCTTCCCTGGCTATACCGTGAATGATGGATAGAAAGAGCAGGTCAGAGGCAGGATGCAGCAAAGACAGCTGTGTGAAAACCACTGTAATACCAAAGGGAGCAGCTGCTTGCTGTTTGAAAGCACAGAGAAAGGAGAGTCATTCCAACAGCTTGCATCTTAAAGGATAGACCATGGCCAGACACCACCATCAGTGCCTCTGCCAGAATGTTGAAGACTAGTCTCCTTCTTGACCTCCCACCCCTGCCCAGAAGCTTGGCGCTCACCCAAGGCCTGGGATCTTACCCTTTTCTTCTGACAGGGGTCACATGCAGTCCAGGAGGACCAGCTGGATAGCTCACAGTCAACAGGTGCTGGGGTGACGTCCACACTCCGTACTTGTCTGCTCTTAGCAAGGCTCTGGTTGACGGCATTTGTGCTGAAGAAATCTGGCTGCTCCCCTCTAAGAATCATTTTAAGAGAAGAGTCGCATATCCTAAAGGAATTACATTCATTCCCTGCCACCCATCAATCACCCATCGCATAAATGTAGATCAGATCATGAATGCAAGGCAGGTAGTTTATCATTTCAGTGCTTGTTAATTCATCTAACAAATATGTATTGAGCCCCCAGGAAGCGCCTGGCATGAGGACTACCATGGTAAAGAGTACTGAACTCTGGTTAGAAGACAGTGTCTCAGCCACTTGTGCGATCTGATTTCCAGTCTGTAGGAGCTTCATTTTTTTTCCTCCACACAGTGGCTGAAATGTATTCCCTTACACAGCTGTTTCTGGATTATAAATTATAGCCAATAGGTGAGCACTTAAACTCTCATGGGCTATGGATACACAGGAAATCCAATCACAGCAACACACTCCCTATCTATGGGCCTCCTTTTTATCCTCTGAAGATTGAGGGTTTGCACTAGATGATGCCTTTTCATCTTAAATATCCACGAAACATTTGCCAAGAACAATTGATACTGAAGACACCAGGCTTCCGGGTATGCGGCACAGGATCTACTTAAGAGAGAAACAAGTCTTGTGTCTTGGCAATTTTTAATGCATGCAGGTCCCATGGCCAGAGCTGGGCTTGAAGATGTGCAGAGGTTAGTTATAGGTTAGTTAAGTCTGGAGGCTGGGGAGAAGGTGGAGGCTGGTGTAGGAGTCCCCGTGACATGATATGAACCTGAACTACAGCAGGGCCAGGGCAGAGGAATGGGTGAGAAAGGTCTCAGGTGGAAGCGATAGAAAGTGATCGGCAAATGAATGGGCTGGAAGGGTCTGAGAGGAAGGAAATGGTTTAGGTTGATGCCAGTATCCTACTTGAATGCCTAGGTGGTGGGAACATAGGAGGACCGAGATGTTGTGGAAGATGGCCGAGGCAGGCTAAGCTCTAGGTGCCCATGAGATAGCCACATAAACTCACGCAGGGCACAGTTCCTACCTGGGTCTGAAATCAGGAAGGGAGTTCTGTGCTAGAGAAACAGATCTGATCATGAGAAGGCGAGGAGGGGAAGTGACTAATCTCTTTTGAGAGAAGCAGGCCAAGTGTATCAGTTACTGTTCTATCACTGTGATAAAACACCTTGGCCAAGGCAACTTACGGATGGGTTTATTTGACTTACATTTCCAGAGGACTAAGCGTCTATTGTGGTGGGAAACTGTGGCAGCCACCAGCAGACCCAGCATGTGGACTGAAAGCTGAGGGCTTGAACTACAAGCAGGAAGAAGAAAAATCTAACTGAAAATGGCACTAAGTTTTGAAACTTCAAAACTAGGCCACAGTGATGTACTCCATCAATACCCCACTCCTTAAGACTACCCAAACATCACCACCAACGGGGGCCAAGTATTCAAACATCTGAGCCTATGGGAGATACTCTTATTCAAACTACCACAACATGAAAAGTGCTTAGGGCGCATCAGGGACACAGAAGAGGAGGGGGCCAGTATCAGGTTGAGCCATGCAGGTCAGGAAGCATCTGAGGGGGTGAGTGAAGCAGGGAAATGGGGTGGAGGGCAGAGGAGCCACACCTTCAGAGCAGACAAGCCTCACGAGAACTGAAACACGTCTAAACTGTAAAGTTGGCTACTTGTTGAGTCCCTGGCACACAGCTGGTCCAAGTGAATGAATGAACTCATTATTTCAACTGTGGGAGCCTCAGTTTCCCTACCTAGAACATGGTAGATGTGCTATGATTTTTTTCATCTCTTCCCGTGAGTATGCATATCAGTGTAAGCACCCTTGTAACTTGTACTTCTTTTTTTTTTTTTTTTTGGTTTTTCGAGACAGGGTTTCTCTGTGTAGCTTTGCGCCTTTCCTGGGACTCACTTGGTAGTCCAGGCTGGCCTCGAACTTACAGAGATCCACCTGGCTCTGCCTCCCGAGTGCTGGGATTAAAGGCGTGCACCACCACCGCCCAGCAACTTGTACTTCTTAAGCTAAAGAGGAGGTACAAGGAAGAAGACAATGAAGATTTACTGAGGGCCTAGGATGTCAGACCTAAGCATTGTATTAGATGTTTTTATCCCATGCCACAGATGTGCTCGACGGTAGCTATGGACTGTGGTCACCTGGACAGATGCTGAAATGGCTCAGAGAGACACAACGTGTCTGCTGCAGTGAACCCGGGATGTAGTTGCCCTGGGATCTAAGCCTGTCTGACTCTGAGTATGCAGTCTCCCCTTGCCCCATGACGTCTGGAAGCAGATCCAACCTGGATCCACTCCAGTCGCTTCCCATCACCAGCTCAGTAAGTGTCCGCAAGGCCTGTTTCATCCTGGTCTCTAAGATTAAGTCATTAGGAGGAACATCACAAAGCTTCCACTGTCAAACACACAGGATGTCACTCCAAACAAGGTCATTAACGACACATTTTCACTTGGCAAAAGTCCTAAAAGGAGGATAATATTAACTACTGTGAGCTCCATTTCCATGGCTGCCCCAGAGACTGGCAAAAATCAATTGCCTAGTAAAGTTGGATCTTTAACAAAAGGTCAAAGACTCTACTGGAAACCACAGGTGGGTACTTGAAAGTGGTTACTGAGGCAGGATGCTGCACACCAGCAGGGGCCCTCCGATGGGCTCCTATCTACTAATTTGCTCGGGTTTGACAAAACAATACTGTCTGTGATTTGGCTTCTCCTAAGTATGTATTTGACAGCTCTGCAGGGTACCTTCTTCCTATTTCAACTACCAAGCAGTTACACTGTTTTTTTTCCCCCAAGTATCACCCCAATTCGGGGCCACAGTGGAGACCAAGTGGATAAGTAACGTGCACAGTTGCTATTAAGAGTCACAATTATTTTCCTCTCCGAGATTTGAGAGCCCATTAATGGGCAAGATGATGGCTTACAGAGGGAACTTGTAAGAAGTAGTTATAACCACCAGATCTCTCATTTTTACACCCAATTTCCATTACGGGGGTGGCAATATAATGAAATAATCAGCAGAATAAATAGTATGTTTGTAAATTACATCGGGTAAGTGTGGTTCATTAGTGCCACACAATGCAAATCTAAAGGAAAGGCTAGTGTCTAGTCACATCTTCAATTTGAGAATGGCATGGAGCTGCATAAATGGCAGGTTCAACCGAGGCCTTTGCATGCGGCTATGTGCACCTTCCACCCTGAGGAATTTCTATGGAAACAAACCCACTGGCTTGGCTGCTGCTGAGATGCCTCCATATGGGGAGAGGAGATAAGAAAGAGTAATAGAGGGGGTGCATATGGTCAAAGTATATTATGAGCATGTATGAAAGTGCCACAATGAAAGCCCGACATGCAATTAACAGACACGAATGCAAAGCCCAACTCGTCTGTAACATAAAACTGCCTCGAGAAGTACTGAAAATTAATAATCACTCAGGGTCCCACACCCACATTGCCCCCTGCCAATCTTTCGCCACACTTGCATGGTCTTTAACTAAATGGCATCTCCAGGATTGGGCATCTGAGTACCACACCAGCCCCAGTCCTGTTTGTGAGGCCAACAACTGTCACAGACATGCTGTGTGTCAGTCCAGCGTCTTGTGAATGCTTTCACACATGTGTGCCGGGTGCAGCATCACCTTCCTGTGCTTTGCCTTGACCTTGTGCATTGTTGCGCACCATTTTTCAGACGTGGGTGCTTCTGCCCACCCACGTCAACCAGACCCACATTGATTCCTGAAGGGACCTAGTGTGCTGCTTTCATCTGGATGTTATCTCCTAGAACATCTCTTGCATGTCATTGATTCCTCTGAGTCACACTCATATCCTAACAACATTTTGCAATTTCAAAAAAAATGTTAGTATAAGCAGCCTTTTATACTTCACTGGAAATATGCCCCTTTTGAGGAAGTACAAGCAAGGACATGCCTTCCTTTGGGGTGCACAGAACCTTGTTGCCAGCCTTAGGACACATTGTTCTGGGTCCAGGTTGCCTATTCTCTTTCTCTGATCAAAATAAAGATGGATCCATCAAGCACAGCAGGATTAGGTCAGCAGTAAATTTCCAGCCCTCAGCTTATATGGATGGGCCACATCAATATATTTTGGCTCTCTGTGGAAATGGCCTGACACAACAACTTTCTTGTCACACACAATTTGTTCAGCTGCTGCAACCCTGTATAAACAGCATCTTCCACTTTGCTGGGGCGGGGGTGGTTTCTGGGGGAAAGGTTTCCCATTTCTCTCTGTCATTTGCTGTTGCAGACATGGAATTTAAAACAATATCTCAGAGCAGCAAATGTGTGTCCTACAGAAACATCCTGGGTGTCTAGCAAGTCAGGTGGATTTGGGAAGTGTGTTAATGAGAGGCAGAAAACAGCAAGAATGCTTGAGTTCTGCACACACACACACACACACACACACACACACACACACACACACACACAATGGATTCAATAGCCTTGGGAGTCACATAGTCTTCGAGCCTCAGTTTCCTTCTCTCTACATCTGTAAGTGGTAGATTGACTGTGAGGGCGAGTGTGAATGCCTGTAACAGTGACAATCAATAGTGATCAATAGGCCGTGTGACAGTGGGACCTGAGCAAACGAAATGACAAAGCTTATGATATGAAGGAGCTTGCAACACTTTCTGCTCCTACACAGAATATTTCTGTTTTGATTTTTGTGTCTGATACTCCAAGGCATGTTGTGTTCAGGGCTGGCATGTAGAGATCATGGGTGGAGAGCAGAATATTCAACCAGGAGTCAGGGAAGGGCTGCAGGCTCACTGAGTGGGAGCCATTCTCTTCCCCCCTCTGGGGATCAGTTTGTCCTTCCACAGAGTGGGAACAAGGGGACACTCCCCCTCCTCATAGGACCAGCCCCTACCTAAAAGAGAACTTGCCAATAAATACATCCCATTGTGCCACCCCTTCACTTCAAACCTTCTATACCTGGAGGATATTGTTCACATCCCCAGCTACTTGTTCTTCCTCCTCCTCCTCCTCACAGTTCTCACCTTGGTGTCTACTCAATGAGAC